CCACACCACCCACACCACCCACACCACCCACACCACCCACACCACCCACACCACACCACCCACACCACCCACACCACCCACACCACCCACACCACCCACACCACCCACACCACCCACACCACCCACACCACCCACCCCACCCACCCCACCCACCCACCCACCCTCCCACTCACCCACGCACGCACACGCACACACACACACACATTCACACACACACACACACGACAGGTACAGGCACAGGCACAGGCACAGGCACAGACACAAACGCAGACATAGACACAGGCACAGGCACAGGCCCACAGACTTTTTCTTTGAAGGAAAATGGACTTGCAGGACCGTGAGGTTCCATGTTTGATGGGAGATGTATCCTAAACTGGTAGTTGGGTCCGGGTGGCTCGAGACCGAGGGGCCAGATCCTTGACCCAAGCCGGAATCTCCCTCGCAACGTCTTGGACCAATCTCTCTGAGTCCTCTCTCTGCACAATCTCTCTACAAGTTCTCGTCCCACATATTTGTCTTTCTGTAAGCTCCAGAGAAGGCGCTACACAACCGCGCGCACGCTCACGCACGCACGCACGCAGGCACGCACGCAGGCACGCGCGCACGCACGCACGCAAGCGCACGAACGCACGCGCGCAAGCAGGCGCGTGCGCAAGCACGCGACCACGCCCGCCGCACACAAACGCGCACATGTGCCTGTACATCATGTAAATCCATGTTGGGAGGGACTATATACTTGTAATTCGTAGAGTCAAGAACGCAGTCCCTGCCCCAGACGCCTTTAGGTTCTGGGCCTGCTTTGGGCCCAAACAACCTCTGAGTGCCTTACTTCTGTTGCTTCCGTCCTGCTCAAGTTTCGTACCCGACCGAACGCTTGCGCGAAAATGTCATGCCCAGCCATGTCGAATTTGACATTTGATTCTCAACCAACCGTTATTTTGCACATATTCCACGTCCATGTGCTTTATCAGAGAAAACCCAAGAGAAGACGCAGCCGTAATGTTCAGGGGTGGTCAACATCATGACATATGGGAACCTGGGCTTTTTAGGATTTGGACCCACGACATGTGGGCTTCCTTTGGGTTCCTCTGTGAACCAATCCCATTCGTTGTTTTGTAAAACCACTATTTTGCAGACATATTTCACTCCCTTGGCTTTCTGCATGTGCCTTGTCAGAGGAAACCAAGAGACATGCGTAGTTGTTCTGTTAAAGCCTATAACATACGGGGTGAACATCATAACAATGGGAACCTGGGCTTTTAGGATTCGGACCCACGAAATCTGGGTGTCCTTGGGGTGTCTCGGTTTGTTTTGCAAAACCGTTGAACCCTCCATTTGCTAAAGTTTTTTTTTTTTTATTCTCCGCTTGTTTGGTTTAACATGAATTCCTGACACCTGGAATTGTTTTTTTTCCTGGGCCCTTAACCAATAAGGGCTTGTTTGTTTTACAGCCTGGGAATACACCCACTGGGTATTGGCCCCATTTAGGTACATTTCCGGATAAAACCGTGTTATTTTGAACCATTCTGGGTCATTTCCCAAGGGTGTAATCCCATGTAACACAACAACCCTCAGAGACTAACAAAGCAGTAAGCTTCTCCTAAACCAACATGGAGCCATTCATCACTACTGGAAGTATCTTTATTTTTCCTGGGCCTTCACCAAATGGTTGAACCCAACCTTTTGACCTTTTTCAGCTTTTTCAGGGAGCAGGGGATCCGAGCAGGGTTCAATCAAAGGGCCCTAAGCTCTTGCACCAAGCACAATCATGTGTGGACCAGCTTCGCCTTTGGTCCAGCGAGTTTTTCTCCGGCCGCGAGGCGCCGGTGGGCGGGGTGCGCTTCCCGCTGGCCGCGGGGGCGCCGCTGGAGCTGCTGAATGGCGCCAAGCCGCCGCGGCAGCATGCGGCCAGGAAGCAGCTGGCGTATCTGGGGCTTCAGGAAGAGCAGGCCGAGGTGCGGGGCTTACAGATTATATCCCCACTATACGATGTTATTATCTCGCAAGTTGTTGTTTGTTTAAACTAGATTGTATTGTGCTATACCACGTTATTGTAAGATATTATATTGTACTATACCATGTTAGTATAAAGTATTGTATTGTACTATACCGCGTTATTATAAGATATGCTATTGTACTATACCATGTTATTTTAAGATATTGTATTGTACTATACCATGCTATTATAACATATTATATTGTACGATACCATGTTATTATAACATATTATATTGTACAAGACCATGTTATTATAAAATATTATATTGTACTATACCATGATATCATACAATATTATATTTTACTATACCATATTATATAATAGTTCATTATGTTATGTTATATCATATGTCATTCTGTTCTCGCTGTTGGGACACGTTGCACCTACCACCTGGCAAGCAATCAAAAAGATCAAGCGAGCGAGCAAGCAAGCACGCCAGCGAGCACCCACCCACCCTAAACCAACGCCAAAAACCTAACCCTCGCCCTCCCCGGCCAAACAAACAAAACAGCAAGAATAACTCAGGTTTTGGAGCAATGCAGAAGATCAGTCCCCAATTTTGCCAAATGTCGGACGTTGTTTTGGTGCCACCTGGGTCGGGGAGACAGGGGACAGACTAAAAACATGGAGCCAGTTCTTCTTCTTTTTTTGCGCGTGGGCGCCTTTTTGTGGGCCAAGCCTACCTTTGGGCAATCGAACAACTGGAGCCCACCTTTGGGCAATCCAAAAACGGAGCCCGCTGAGATAGATCGAGGGCTGAGCCAAGAGAAGTTGTTGGTGACCTACGTTGCACCAGTTAATACTGTGGATGGACAAAATCCTACACCACCTAAGAAATCCTAGAAGGATGATTCCCCTGTAAATACCAACAAACAATGGTTTTAACCATGGTTTCAAAGTGGTGCAGGATTTTGTCCATCGACAGTATTGACCCTATGTTACACAAGTGGGGGGTGCCCCACAAGAAAAACACCCCAGCAACAAACCGGGGTTCCTCAAGTAGGGGCTCCACATTTACCCTTTGTTGGTTGGAGTTGAAGGAGAAAAGGAACACCCGGGCTCCATGTTTGGGGTCCATTTTACCTCCCAAAGACGAGCCACTTCGCCAGGCGGGGGAGGAGTTGGACGGCTTCCAGATCGCCAACTTCTCGCGCCAGGGGAGTCTGGTCCTCCTGGACGGCGCGGCGCCCTTGATGCGACCGCGTCGAAGCATTTGTTTTTTTCGGCCGAGGGAAAACAGCCTCCGAAAATCCCATGGGTTCAGGAGATGGTGTAATCAGGGGTTTGGTCTGCTGTGTGTTTTCCGTTTGGCTTTTTTTTCAGGCTTTTTTCTTCGCGTTCTGCGTGGTTTTTATTTATGGGGGCCTTTCTTGAGGAGGGTGTTCGGGTTTTGCCTGTCGTTGATGATAGTGAGGATGCTGCAAACCTCCATTATCTCACTTACAACCAGGCGCCGCAAGTTGTGTGCCTGTTTGAGGCTCCGGCAAATACCCGCTGTTCTAGCTAGGCCCGCGATGAGAAGAAGCGTGTGGCAGAAAAAAAGAAAAAGCAACACCACAAAGCGACCAGATCCACCGCCTCAACACCTTGTGCTTTGACAGGTTGACAGGGTGGTTGCAAAAAAAGGGTTTAGGGGGTCAAACTGAAGGAATTTTTGGTCAACAAAAAAGGAGGAGGGTCAAAAAATGGGAAGGTCCCCAAATGTATGCCCTTCCCGCAAACCTTCCTCTAGGAATTTACATCTTTTGGCTCGTCCCCGAGCCATGGATTGTGATCACCAGGTGTCCCTTTTTTTGTTGTTAGTGGGTTTGCTTTGAAAGTCGAGGGCGATTCCTGGTTTACCTGGCGGTTCAATCATCTACCAGGGCCATCTATTTATGCTTCTCATATACATGTCTTATAACAAGAACAAATATAGAAGCCAAGGCCAGACAGTCAAGGCCCCCCCCAAGAATAGAACTGGCAACAACTGGCTCTACCAAATGAACTACTGTGAAGAGGGCAAGTCTTGGCAACGATATTTGGAATTGGCATTCCAAACGTCGCAAGTATTGGCAAGTTCAAGCCCAACCCAGAAAAAGGGGCTTCTCTCTTTTAAAGCGGATTCAACATTGCACTTTTCGGGTTGGATGAAAGGGACAGTGAAACACACGTCGATTTTGTCTTGGCCCTCTCTACTTTAAACCCTGCTGATGCTGATTTGGGGATTGGAGGTATTATTTGGGCCTTTGGGTGTTTCTAGGGGTAACTTCCCCATTAAGGATCCTTCTTTCTAGAAAACCACCAAAAACCCTGGGCAAACGGCGATCGGTTTTTTGAAAAGAACGATGGCTGAAAAAAAGAGAAGACAAGGGATCAACTCCTGGGGCCATTGTGAAAAGTCCCAAAACAGTCATGGCCATGACTCCCTGCAAAAGGAACCCTTTTTCCGTGGTGGTTGGGGCCTTTGGGTGTTGGGGGAACACGGGGATAGAGGGTGGTTTAGGGGCAAGGGGTTGGACTCCTGCGGCTTGTACTGGAGTTGGTCAATGGTACCCTTTTGCCTTATTTGTTTCTTGGTGCCTCCCGAAGGCCATCCGGTTCCTTAGCCTTTTAGATCTTTGTAGTGAGTCGCAGTTTCCAGATCCACAAGTTCGTCAAGCTTTTAGCCGGGGATCCGAAAACGGGCAGCCCAGGTTTAGCTACCGTGCCTGGACTTGTCTTCCGTTTGAGAAGACCGTCTTAGGGCAACATGCGGGAAAGGGGAAAGCAGTAGACGGTAAATGATGACTTTAGCGGGGTCTGTTGTACCTTCACTGTTCTTGGCATGTTTTTTGGTTTGTTAGTTTTTTGGTTCTGTTCATTTATACTGGGGGTCTGCAAAAAACAAAGCTTTTTGCTACCATACCAAGAGTAGAGATGGTACCCTAGAGTGCAGTTGAAAGTAGATGGCGAATTCAAGTCTATCCCATTTTGGTTTGGTCATCCCCTTTACCAAAAACGCCTTTTCTCTGAACAGAAAACAAGACACCTCGAGGAAATCCAACAACAAAAGACAAGGTCCTGAGGGAAATGTGTTGTTTGTGCCCATTATCATTCTCCCGGCGGATTTCTCTAGCACAAGAGCTTTCTCCAGGCATCCGATTTTCGCAAAAGCGCTGCAATTTTTCTTCTAGTCGCGCACTGGAGACTGTGTCTTCCATTTGCTTCAGAATATTTTATTATTATCATTATTATTATTATGATTATTTAAATTATCCCCTGTTGGTTTGGAAGGGGATTTATCACTACTGGAAATATTTCATTTTTTCCAGGGGCTTAAGCAAATGGCAGGTGTGGTTACTCAAATTTTGCAGGTGTAATGAATGTACACAGAGCAGGTGTCTGCACTTGCAGTTGGCCATAGACAAGGCCCCGGGAGGAAGAACATACCCATATTTTTGAAGCCCCGACAATCTCCAAAAAAGCGCTTGGAAACTAGCAAAGCATCTAGTAAGTACTATTAAATCAGATTGGGAACAGACTGGGGCGGACAGAAGCAAATTGGAGCTATGTTTGTTTGTGGAGCTACAATCAAGCCAAGCCAAACACATTTAGACATGCAGCTTAAGCATGCGATTGGATTATGCAGCGTCTGTGTCGGACGTGTGCACCCCCCAGACTAGAAGCCAGATAGGAACGCCATACAGCTATGGACACAGGCTACAGGTACAAATGGCTTCCCTGTAAATGCCATCAAACAATGTTTTCCCATGCTTTCAAATTGGTGCGAAATGGATTCCGTCCATCCAAAGTGTGGTGGTTTCCTGGCGGTTGTCCTTTGGGCTGGACCCCCCCAAATATGGTGGGCGTCCTTTCTTTAAAACCACCCCAAAAAAGGGGGATACCCTCCAAAAATACCCCCAACTGGCTGTGGGTCAAAAATGGGGCACCCCCCTGGGCGCCGCGCCTTCCCTCGACCAATTTCAGCAGCCCAGGTGCTGCTGGCGCCAAGGCACCGCTTCACCGCCTTCGCGCGTCTGCCCCCCAAGTGCCGCCCAGATCAGCGCCTGACCCTGCTGGTGGCGCGGGAGATGAAGGCGCTGGCGAGAAAGCCCGGTTTTCCAGGGGCCAAGGAGAAAAACCCGGCTGCTTGTTTCAAGCATTGCCTTTTTTGGTACATGTGAAGGCGATTTTGCCCGTCCGTTGTGTGAAACATAACCTTTGTTGGTACATGGTAAGGCGATTTTTCCCAGCCGTTGTTTCAAGCCCGTGTCAAGGCGATTTTCACGGCCGTTTGTGTGAAACAGAACCTCTGGCCCATGTTAAGGAAATTTTGCCTGGCCGTTGTTTAAGACATAACCTTTGGACCTCCAAAAGTTGGGCTGCCGGAGCACTTGCGCCTTCAAAAGGTGAGGGGTCGAAGCATCGAATTTCCTCCCCCCCCCCCGGTTTGGGATCGGCATTTTCAGATGCACCACCGATCTCCTGTTCGGACCTGGTGGTCATTTTCGCTGCCCAGAGGCTCCTGGCTTTGGCGTTTTGTATGGAAGACCCGACCCCTCCGTTCGACACCCGGCTTCGTGGGGGGTCTCAAAACCAGGCTGTTTGAAGGCCTTAAATCAATCGAATTGGAGCCTCTGGGTGCAAGCCACAAATCGATCTTCACACAGAAATCGGGCTGTACCCAACTCGGGCCAAGTTTTTCCGGAGCGTGTGGGAAAATCAGAGCTGCGTTTTCTGTGTGTGTGTGTGTGTGCGTGTTTTTTTGGGGGGGGCTAAATTTGTTTTTGTTGGTTTTTGAGTTGTGCTTTCGTTTTGTTTTGGGGCTTGCTTTGGTTTCTGCTGTTTTTGAGCTGTGTTTTTGTTTTGCCTTTTGTTTGTTTTCATTTTGTTTTTTGGTTCTTCGCTAGGTCCCCCAGTAGTGCCCTTCTCTCCCCTTTTTTGGGGAGGGTTCCCCTACTAAAATAGACGCCAGCAAAAACATCGGGCACCGACTTATTCTAACCTCTCTGGAGGACCTACTGTGGATGGACGAAATCCTGCACCACTTTGAAACCACGCAAAAACCCTGGTATGTTGGTATTTACAGGGGATTCATTCAGTCCAGGGCTTCTTAAGTGGTGTGAAGTGGATTTCGTCCATCCACTAGTTCGAGAAATACACTTTCCGGAGGTTTTCTAGAAAGAAGGATCCCTGGAAAGAATGGGGAAGGTAGCACTAGAATTCTAACCTCTCCACTGGAGGACCTAGTTCGAGAAAGACACCCACGAGACTTCGCCAGGGGCCCCCTCTCGAGGGGTCGGTGGACATCGAAATCGGCCTTCGATCCCCTGAGGTTGCCGCCAAGAACTCCACCGGCCTCGCCATGGCGCCTTGGGCCGAATTTCTGAGTCGAAGGCGGTGGCTTGTGCAGCCTTTGTTCCAGGGGCTGCGTCTTCGTTTTTTTGTTTGGCTAAATGTTGTATTTGTGGTTTTTGAGCAGTGTCTTTGTTTTCTTTTCTCCACGAATTGCCTTCCATTTCCATTGTTTCCAGGGATCCGAATCTTTCTAGACCTCCGGAAACCCAGGGACATTCTTTATGCCCTGGGGAAATTTATTCCACGAAGGGATTTTTCTTTGGAACCCACAAAAGCATGAGTTTTGACGGGTCCAGAGTGAAATACTTCTGGGCTTGATTCCTTTTCCATTCTTTTCAACCATTGTTCTTTTCAAAAACCGGGTCTGTTTTCTTGGGTGTTCGATGGTTTCCTGAAAGGCAGGATCCCTGGAAAGAATGGAAATGGAAGGTACCCTTAGATTCATGGTACCCGGCTTTAGGAAGCCGAAAGCAAACCTGTGAGGTTTGTCTCCGGGACAAAAATCGCTTCACCGCTTCTAGGTCCCTCAGCTAGGTGCCCGCCCTCTCACCCCGACTTTTGGTTGGGCGGGTTCCCCTAAAATGGACAAAACCGAAAAAAAAGTGGGCACCCTTATATTCTAAGCTCTCTACTCAAAGACCTAGTTTTGGACTGGTCGATGTGCGGGGAAGAACGTGGAGGTCTACCCGTACCCCAAGGCCATGTTTCAACCTGAATGCTTTTGGATCTATGTTTAGCTTGTTGGGAAAATGAGCATTGCCAAAAGGCTATTCACTTTGTGGGCGAACAAGCAGTTCGGCCGTGTTTTGGCCAATCCACTCTGGAAGTGAGAAAACCAGCTCACTATGTTGTAGGTCCTTCAGTTCAATCCAAATCACAAGGCAGGTTTTGGAACTATTGTGAACAATGCAGATAATTGTTCGGCCGCCTTTCCTTTGAGAAGTCGTCAACATGTCTGCCTTTGCTCCTTTTTTTTCCTGACGAGACAGGCCGCCTGGTTGGTTGTGACAAGAAAATAGGTGCGCTAAGTGTACCTGCCTTTTGGCGGGGTCTCAGTTTGAAAATAAGCAATGTTTTATTCCAATCGGGAAACCATTAGGAAACACATATGGATGTTTAAGTACCGAACCAGGCCACATTCTGCGCAATCTGCAGTGTAATACTCTGAGCACTCTGCAACCATCTGAATAATGGGAACCCAATATTAATCAACCCCTGGTTGATGAAAGGGGTGTCCCAATTTGGAGGGGATGCAAATCAGTTTGGAGAGAGTTGCACCTTGTACGAGACCGAAAGGTTTATCAACCCGGATCAACCTTCAGAAATGACACGTTAGACTCAATTCGTATGTCCAAAACAAACAGATAGAGTACAGGCCCTCATAGGCAGCCTTTGAAACATTTTGGGAGTCTCCCAAAGACTCCCAACTCGTTTGATTTGTTTGGTGTCCTCAGGTTGGGTTTGATTTGCCGGTGGGCTCCCTTGACAAAGCATCCAAAGATCCAGAGGACATTTGGGCGCAGTTTGGCACGGAAAGTCGCGGAACACAAAGTCCGCCGGGGATAGCCACAGATGTCGAATTTCACTAAGAGACACCCAGACACCCAGCAGATGTACCAGAGGAAGCTTCACTAGTTGGTGGTTGGTCCCGGTAATGAGAGGGCTTGCTTCAGACGTTGAGAAACCTCTGGGCTTTGAACAGGCGCCGTCGCCTCTTTGGGCTGGGCGAGGTTGGCCATACAGAAGGGAACCTCCGAGAAGGGCCCAACACCCAGTATCCTGAAAGGAAAAGCCCACTCTGGCTGAGTCGAGGACAACTCCCAGTTGCTGAATTTGAACATAGGGCGGTGGTGTTCAATGTCCACTCGCCTACTTGGCGGTCTTTTTTTATATATGCAGGGGGGATGCGTTGGGGGGAAGCCCCATGCTAGGGCACCGCGGACCTACCCCGCTTCGCTTGGTGTGGCCATATCCCTGGGTGTCCCTTCAACGCAACCCCAAAATGGATACCCTCACGCAAATATCACTCCCAGTCAGTCTTAGAGGTGTGTCATTGGCAATTCTTCGAGTTTGGAAGGGGTTTTCCTTGTTTGATAGTACAGGACAACCAAAAGGACAAGCACAATTTTGGGGCGTCCCTTGAAAGAACACACGCCCATATGGGAGTGTCTTCCCAACACGCCTCCCCCCAAAAAAAAGCATCTTCCCCCCCACCCCCCCCCCCCAAAAAATAAAAGAGAAAAGCAACGAACAAATACAAAAATCTTCCCCCCCACCCCCGCCCAAAAAAACAAGAAGAAACAATCACCTGGATGGTTCAGCTCGTCGGCAAAAAGGGGCGAGCGACGGCGCAACCCAAGGAGAGGCTGGACATTACACCAGATGGCCTCTTGCTGTGCCCGCAGTTGCCGGAGGCATGCGCCAGAGGAGTCCTTTGTTTGTGCCTTTCCGTGTTTTTTTTGGTTGTTCTTTCTCTCTTGGTGTGTTTGCATGTTGTGTTTTCTTTCTGTTTCTTGTTTTCTTGCTTACTTTCTTTCCTTCTTTCTTTCCTTTCTTCTGTCTTTGTTTGGTTTGTTTGCCCGTTTGTGTTTTCTTTTGTATGTATTTCTTACGTTCTTTCTTGCTTGCTTTCTTTCTTTCTTTGTTGGTTTGTTTGCTTGTTTGCCTGTTCGGGTGTTTCTTTCTTTCTTTCTTTTTGCTTTCTTTGTTTTCTTCTTGTCTTGTTTTCTCTTTCTTGCTTTCTTACTTTATTGTGTTCTTTATTTCTTACTTTGGTTCGTTCTTTCTTTCTTTACTTTATTTCTTCCTTTCTTTCTTTCTTTCTTTCTTTCTTTCTTTCTGTCTGTCTGTCTGTCTGTCTGTCTGTCTGTCTGTCTGTCTTTTTGTTAGTTTGGATTGTTTGCTTGCCGTTCGGGTGTTTCTTTATTTCTCCGTGTTCTTATTTTCTTGTTTATTTATTTATTTCTTTCTTTATTTCTTTCTTTCTTTCTTTCTTTCTTTATTTATTCATTTATTCTTTTTGTTTCTGTCGTGTTTTTTTTTCCCCTTTCGGTATTTTTTCTTTGTTTGATTGTTTGGTTTGTGTGCCTCTTCGTGTATTTTGATTGTTCTTTCTTTCTTTCTTTCTTTTATTTCTTTATTTCTTTCTTTCTTTCTTTCTCTGGTGTGGTTGCCTGCTCTTGTGTTTCTTTCTGTCTTTCTTTCTTTGTTTGTCTATTTGTTTGTTTGGTTTGTTTGTTTGTTTGTTTGGTTGCTTGCTTTTGTTTGTTCGCCTATTCGTGTGTTTCTGCATTTATTTTGCTCTTTCTTTCGTTCTTTCTTTCTTTCTGTTTTTGCTTGGTTTGTTTGCCAGTTCGTGTGTTTCTTTCTTTCTGTCTTTGTTTGGTTCTTTCTGTCCTTGTTTCGTTCTTTCTTTCTTGCTTGCTTTTGTTTCTTTCTCTCTTTTTCTTTCTTTCTGTGTTTGTTGGGTGTGCTTGACTGTTCGCATGCGGAAGGTACAGCTGCATCTTTTGTAGCGCAAATTCCCTGGGGTTGAAGATAAGAACAAACCAGGAATCCCTTAAGGGGTGCCACAGTTGGCCTCGTGTGTCAAGCCAGGATCAACATGGGTGTCACCTGTTTTCCACACGCCCATAGGTTCGAATCCTCTTCCCACCAGTTCCTTAGGTACCCAGGAACCGCTGCATTTTCTATGGCGTTTCGGGGCTCCCTGAAAAGGGGTGAGTCCTTACCGCATTTTCCATTGGGTTTCAGGGCTCCCAGGGGTCCAGGTGAGTTTCCTGCTGAGACTCCGGTTGGAAACCCATGGCGCGATGCGTCGCGCCTCGTAGGTGGGGGAGCTGTTTGCGGTTCATCTTCAGGGCGCCGCGTCTCGGAGAGATCTGCAGGGGACGAAGTCTTCGGGATTCATGTCCAAGCCATAGGCGGTCCTTAGAAAAGTTTGCTTAGATATAGATATATATATATATATATACATAAATTATAAGCAAACAATTCTAAGGACCGCCTATATATAGGGTACCCCCCCATGGATCTACCTTCCTTGAAGGAGTTCACCGGTATTTGCAGTGTGTCCTCCCTTTTTTGGGCTTTGGAGGGATGGGTTCCGCTGGTTGAGATGTTTGTTTGTTTTTTCCATGGGGACATCGATTTTTCCCAACAGGGCGCCTATGGCCCGACTGCTTCTTAGGTGGTTCCTTATATCGGAGGTCCTTCAAGTGGTTTTGGGGCATGGCGCAAGGTGCAAGGCCCTTCAAGGTAGCAAGGCGTAAGCAAGCTCCTTCCACCCGGTTGCCCGAGAAAGAAAAAGAAAAAACCGGCAGCGTCAAGCCAGAATCCCTTTGGTTGCCTTTGGCTCCCAATCTGAAAGGGATGCAAAGAGGTCGTTGGCGCGAGAGAAGCCCCAAAAGTTGGGCCCCGATGAAATTGGCGGCCGCGGGTGAAAAAGTCCTTGGTTCCATTTGCCAGGGCAAGCCATTTTGGGGTTACCCTATTTTTTTGACCAGCCACTTGGCAAAGGGAGGGTTTCTTTCTGAGTCCTTCAAAGCCCCAGGGTTCCGTTTGGTATTTTCAAGACTGAAGCATGGGGCTCGCGAAGCTTCTCCGGGCCCGGGTTTCCCGGGTTTCCGGGCCACACCCATTTCTGTGAGGGGTCCTTCAGGTGTTCAGTGCACCGCTTCGCATCTGACTTGTGCGGACCACTTGTAGAAGCAAAAGGAGCTTCCAACAAATGATGTTTCGATCTCAGGCCGGTTCCGACAAAATCAAATCTGGCTTTGACGTTTTAGGTAGGGACGCCTCTAAGTGGTTGGTACCAAAGGGTTCCCAGTTCAAGTTCACATCCTACAAAAAGCAACTTGGTTGCTTATAATTCTATTTTCGGAGAACCCTATTGGTGTCTCACACAAGCCCCCAAAAAGGGGCTTTGTCTCCTCAAAAATATTGGTAGCCTTTTAACGCCCCTTCAAAGAGTACAACCACGTTCATATCTCCTCCCAGGACACCCCTCGAGGCCAAATCCAATATATTTTGCGCTTTCCGTTCGGTGCCTCATGCCAGCCCCGAACAAGGGGCTTTTCTTCCATCAAGATAGAGTGACCCCCCTGTGGAATTTTCCCCGTGGTTTCCCTTTCAACCAACCGGACAAGGCTCAGTACCCTCCAACCCCCCACCCCGTTTCCGCCTCACCACCGTCACGCGGCAAAGCAAGCCGCCACAAACCGCCGCTTCCATCGACACCCGCCCCCTCCGCGCCCCGTAGTGCACATATGTTTTTGTTGGGGCGTCCAGCCACTAAACAGAGCCACTGGTGGAGGGCTTTTTTGCGCGTCCAGCCACTAAACAGAGCATTTAGTTTATTGAGGGTGTTCCAAGCTTCTTCTTCTTCGCGGCTCCAAAAGATCCTTGCTTCTAAAAAGGGTGGTGAATTCACCTACCAACCAAAATGGCTGTGGGTCAGAAATAGGTACCCAACGTGGAACCCTGGTAAATGGAAACGTGGACTGAAACCTGCGGTCCGATTCCTGGTGGTTTAATTTTGGCCCACACCCAAATGGCACCATTGGTTTTGACAACCACGGCCATTGATTGAGGGTGTTCCTCAAAGAGCTTTCCACTCAGAGCCTAGGTCCCCCAGCTAGGTGCCCTTTTTCTCCCTTTTTTGGTCGGGAGGGTTCCCCTTCGAAAATAGACAAAGCCGAACAAAGTTGGTACCCTTTTTCTAACCTCTCAAATCTGGAGGACATAGTTGGTGTCTGCTGCTTTTCGGTGATTCCTTGGGACACCAAGGGAGTCCCTCTATTTATTGAGGGTGTTCCTCCAAGATGTTTTTCCGCCACTCAGCTATTCAGTAGGCGCCCTATTTCCCTTGTTTTTGTGGCTGACTGCCCCACATTGGAAATGGCCTTCCTCAAAAAGAGTTCCCTTTCTGCCGTGCGACTGGCGCACTTCAACCCCCAGATCGGCTCTGGTTGGCGCGACTGGGAGGTCATTGAGTCCCCTTTTCCGTTGCGGAACTCCTGTCTGCAACATGGTGATGCAACCACGTTTCCACTTGAGCCTTTCGCTTGCCGCCAAAATTCCTCCATCCCACCGCACCAAGGCATGAACAGCTGAGTCCCAGCGAGCCAAACCATTTTTCAGGTCTTCCCCCCCATCCCCCCCATGGATCTACCTTCGTTGCCGTTGTCGTTGTCGTTGTCGTTGTTGTTCCTTTGGAGTTCACTTGTATTTTGCAGTGTGTCTTCCTGTTTCGTTTTTTTTTTTTTTTTTTTTTTTTTCCCAGGGACGTAGGAGCCATTTGTCAGGTCTTCGGCTGCGGCGCCGGCTCGGTGGAGCCGTCCGCCCTGGAGGAGGAGGACTCGCCGTCGCTGGCCTACCAGCGGCTCAGGGACTTGGAGGCCAGCGAAGCAGAAAACGCCTCGCTCGCCGAGCCGAGCCGGGTCGTTTTGGCGAGATGTTCTCTGGGGATGGGGGCCAAGCCCCGCTTTTTGCGGAAGGGGGAGGGGTGCAATCCCCGTTGCTTGGTCTTCTTTTTTTTTTTGGATTCTTTGGGTTGTTTTTCTCCCGGGGGGGGGGGGTCCAAGCCCCCCGTTTCTTGGAGGGTATCCTGGTTATGTTGAGGGTATCATAGTTTGTGGTTTGCAGGTAGTCTAACGGCTTTGGACCCATCGATTTTGAGAGCGATCAGTATGTTGAACGCCAATCGTCATGTTTGACTCAGGGAACTGAGAGATGTACATTTTCAATGGCTAGCCCATGTTTGACTCAGGGAGCTGCGGGTGGTTTTCTCGACTCCGCCGGAGCTGAGCTCGGCGGTCTCTTTGCCCCTGATTCAGCTCTGGCTGGTTCAGAGCTTTCAAGGAGGGTCCTGCGAGGGTTCCGGGAGGCTGTTGATTGAGAGTATTGACGAAAAACAAACCCCAAAAAGTGATCCAGGAAGCACAAGCAAACAAGAGAAACGGAAGGAACAAACGGAAGAACCAAGGGGCCAACACAAACACACCACCAGACAAGCAAGCCAGCCAGCCAAGCAGCCAGCAAGCAAGCAAGCAAGCATGACTTATTGTGGTTAAGCGGAATCCCCTTCTGGCTCAAGTTGGATCGCGAGGTTGCCCAAAGAAAGCTATTTGCCCCCCCCCCCCCAAAAAAAAAAAAGAAGAGAAAAAGGTGGCGCTCTCCATTTTTCTTCCTGAGTCTTACTGCTTGGAGTGTCTCTTCCCAAGCAGTTCTAGGTCCCCCAGCTAGGTGCCTTTTTCACCCTTTTTTGGGGGGAGGGTTCCCCTACTAAAATAGACAAAACCGAAAACAAAAAGTTGGCACCCTTATTCTAACCTCTCAAATCTGGAGGACCTAGAGTTTTTGCCCAACAAACAAAGCTGCAGGGGCCCCCGCAAAAAGTGGCGCTCTCCATTTTTCTTCCTGGGTCTTACTGCCTGGGGTCTCCTCCCAAGCAGATTTGGCAGTGGGTCAAAAATATGTACCCAGAATGGGAACCCTGGTAAATGGCACCATGGATTCAACCTGTGGTCCAATTCCTGGTGGTGCAAAATTTTGACCCACCGCCATTTTGGTGCTGAAACACGACCTCGGACCCCCCCCCCGCTTTGGGGAAAGCCCGGCCTCGACTCGGTTTTTCGGTTCGGAGAGCGAGACTGGAGGCCCGGGACCGGCGCTTCCGCGAGAAGTTCCGCTGCGTGGCGGAGTTCAAGGCACAGGGTGGGTTTGGGGGTTGGGGTCCCTACTCACCAGCGAAGTTTTTCGGGGTCGTGTTTTTTTTTTTTTGGGGGGGGGGGGCGGTTTTTCGGGAAAGGTGTCAGTTTTTTTTTTTCTTGCGATCGCTGCGGAGAGTTTTTGGGCAGCAGGGAATGAGAAATGGCATGAACCCGATTTAAGGCTTATTTTTCGATTTGGTTTAGGGGAATCCCCTTCCGGTTCATTCCCTCATTCCCTACTAGTTTTTCTGGTCGAGTTTTTTGAGGGTACCCCTTGGTGGTTTTCCAGGAAAAGTGACAGGTGTCCTTTTCTTGCGATCGCCGCGGAGAGTTTTTGGAGGGTACCCCGCAGTGGTTTTCCAGGCAAGGGTTTTAGGTTTCCTTTTCTTGCAATCGGGTAGCGGAATCGGGGTAGCAGAAATGGAGTCTGACCCCGAGACAAAGACTTTATTCGGGAATTCCCAGGTTCATTCCATTTCTCATTCTCTGCCTATCGCACCAGCAACAAAAAAGCGGGTCTGAGGCCTTTTTTTAGCTGCTTTGCCGAGCAGGGACTAGTTTTCGTGTTCCTGCCTTTGAAATTCAGGTGGACGCTGTTTTGTTTCTTTTTTTGTTTGCTTGAGTTGGTGGTAGGGTTGCTTTTAATTCAGGCAACCCTTAATTTGTTTGGTGATTTGGATTTGAAGCCTGGGTTGTAGAGGGTAAAATGGGCTTAGTATCTTGATCTAGAGATAAGTTCTTGTTTTGGCAAAGGAGAACAGAAGGAGCACAACCATTTTATGAGTTGTTTTTTGAGAAAGCCCCAAGTAGGCTTTTTGAGTTGAATTCACGTCAGGGATCAGAAAACGTTCACGTTAGACTTTTTGAGTTGGGATCAGAAAACGAGCCCAGATATGAAGCAGCTTGAGGGACGAGTTCTGTTTTTTTTTTCGTGTACACACCTCTTGGTTGTGGCCATGGTCCGAAATCGGCTCGACCAAAAAACTCAGCCGGGCCAACTGGCTGGTGATCCCTTTGACGGGGGCGTTGATTTTACGCGGAGAGCGCCTTGATTTTTTGCTTCGGGGTGTTCCATTTGAGAGGGAATCCCAACGGGGGAGTTGCAGACCCAAAAATGATCTCGGCGGTTCCCAGCCGTCCCCTTTTAGATGTTTAGGGTTTAGTGGAACCCCCACAAAACGTTTACTTTTAACAGGGAATCTGAGGACAGCCGAATTTATCGACTGGGTGATCAATCGGGTCGACATTACTCCGAATCGATAGGTTTTATTTGGCGTTGATTGCCAAGACCGGGAGGGCAGCCCCAACATTGCCTCCAATCTAAACCACCAAAATGACAGTGACCTGGGGTTGCTGGTTTCTGGCGCTGAAACAATGCGCCAAGCGGCTCTTTCCGTGCTGCAAGCAAGAATCCAATACCGACCCAGAGCGATAGCTGGGGGGCACAGTTCTTGCCCGTACTTTTGCTGTGATTCACCTACATTTCACCCCACACGGCCGTGCTTGTTCTACACGACTTGCAATTCTGGATCCAAGGTGTGGACATGTGTTTCTGTTCTGTGGCATGGGCCTTGGAAGCTTTTTCCAACATGCAACACACTGCCCTTCAATTTCGGCGGGTCTAGTTCCCCATTTTGCGACATTTGGGCGTGTCTTAAAACAAGGGGTCCCCCAAGATGTTTGTGGTCTTGCGCTTGAAACCCCGTGTTTGAAGCCTAACAAAAGTACCCTCACAAAAGACACACTCATTTGGGTGTCTTTTTTGGATGCCACCTATTGTAAGGTTGCCCTGGAAGCCACAGGGAGCCACTCATTCAAGATGGCGAAGCTCCTTTTGGCTTCCGTTGCAAGTTGCCCCTTTTGCACTCTACTATCGGGTTGGCTCTTTAGACTTTAACTTCTCATAGTTCCTTTTAACCAGCAAAATGTTTCACTTTTTGCTGGGGGATCTAGCCTCCCCCAGATCCCAGGACCCCTTTGGAAGACTTGAATCCATTTACAGCGGCAGCCTCGGAGCTTGCCTTGTTCGTCTGAGGGAGTGTACAGCACCCTAAGAAGATTCCAGAGATCATTTGTAATAAATTGTTTAATTCCTATTCTTTTAAAATAGTAACAACAAGACAAGATTCCAAAATAATTTATGATCAAATAACAATAATATGATTGAACATGAGATTTCTTTAGTCAAGAACCTCTCTTCACAGACTCCGAATCTGGCACCTCTTGGCTCGCAGGAGTTCGAGCGCACGCTGCAGTGGTTCCGCGCCCACGACTGCACCGAGAGCCACCGCCTCACCCACAGCTGCTTCAAAGGCCGCTCTGAGCCTTTGGCGGAGATCTGCGGACCTCGAGAGTCTGAGTTCCGTTTTTATTGATTTTTATTATTATTGGTTTTTAATCTTCTTTAAAAAAACATATTCTTGACGTCTTCACTTTTGGGGGGTCTGGACCCGTTTTAGCGTCAAAAACCGAAGGCTCGGAGTTGACATCCTCACCTTTGGGGGGTCTGGACCCGTTTTAGGTGGCAAGCCGAAGCTTTTGTTTTGGCCAAAGCACTCAGGAAGTGAGGCTGATAAATCGGCGAAATGCATGCAGGGCACGGGTTGGTGGGCGGGTTTCTCCCGGTATTCATAGGGTTTCATCCATGGTTCGAAGCGGGGTTGTCCATGCACGGTACGGACCTTGACCCGTTACGATACCTCAGAAGCCTTTTGAGGATTCAGATGCTTCAGATGATCGGACAAATTGCAAAGTGGTTAGCCACTTCCTAATAACAAGGTCAGTTACACTTAGGGGTACGTATAACTGGGATGCAACCAAGGCCAACTTACTATCTTGGCCGAACGCTCAAGTAGGGTTCGTTTACACTGCTTTCCCCTTACGCGAATGGGTCGCACGAGGTCGCAAGAGGTCAGTCTTCATGAAGCAGGAACAACTTCACGGACTCCACCCTAAAAAGGCGACACCAAACAAGGACCAAATTAGGCCAAAGGCCTTGCTCGGTTGGAGGAATGCCTGAGGGGTTGGTAGTGTTCGTGACAACTACAGGACATGAGCCAAGCACCCACTAGAAACAAAGAAGCAGTTGTATTCTTGGCATTTGTTTGTTCGTCAAACCTGGTGAAAAACACCTTGTGTTCATTCTTACACGGAGCCAAGATGACAATCATCATTCGGAGGGGCCCATAGCATGGCGTTTTAGTGTTTTAGGGGTTGTAGTGATCTCCGCTACCTGAGGAATTTCCTTTTGGGGAGTCATTGGGTGTTCCACCACAGATTCGAAAAGCGAAACCTTCCGGAACATGGACTTACAAAGAGGGTTTCTTCCGGATGAATCAATCCTGGATGTATTAACCATCCAAGCGAAAACCACAATTGTTTTTGGAGGGGAGGAACAGTCTCCTCATGTCGACTTCCCGATGAATCAAGCCTGGACACCATCCAAAACAAAACCCACAATTATTTTTGGAGGGGTGGAGGAAGCGGACTCCTTATGTTACATTCGAAGGTTTGATTCCCCATTCTCTTCACCCATCGTTCTCTTTGGAAGCCACCCATTTGCCAGGCTTTTGGCCCATTCATTGAAGATAATGATGCCTGAAGAGAATGGGGAGGGTACAGCTAGACATGTTGACTTCGGATGTTGCCACCTTCCGATCTTTTTCGAATTGACTCGCGAGCCAAGGACTTCACGCAGACGGGCATGTTGGTCTTTGACACGGAGGAGGACCTGGAGGGTTTGAACAAGGCCATCGCCTGGCTCTACGACCGCCACATCCCGGCGTCCCGGCACCGGATCAAGTGGAAATCAACGAGAGAGATCTCTCAAAACGAGGGTTTGCCATGTTGGCCTTTTTCGGGAAAGGCGCCAAAAAAGGAAAGAGCACGGTGCGCGGGTCTTGCACATTTTTTTCGGTGGGGCATCCCACAAATACTGTGGTTGCGGACACAAGAAAACCACGGGAAACACGGGTCACTTTTGAGGGAGAGTACCCACAAGTACCCAGCGGCTGCGACATCTCTTTGGCACTTAGCGCCATGGGTTGGAAGCCGTTTGTCGCCTTTCTTGCGATGAAATTTTCTCTTCAGATCCCAGGCTTCGGGGCACCATTTGGCCCATCATGGTGGAGGTAATGGACATCTCTCCGGAGCTTGCCAACTTGATTTTTTATGGACATCTAAAGTTAATGGACATCGTTTTTTTTGATTCAATGGTTGGTTTAGTTGAATCTTTGAAAAGAGGGTTTGGCTCTATCTTCTTTTTGTTTTGAGATGACCAAGATGTTGGAGTCGAAAAGTGGCTTGGGGGTAGTGAACATGATGTGGAAACCATCTTAGAGAGGTTGAGGGTCGTTTCTTGGGGAGCCCTACTGTGGCTAAGCATCGAACATGGGTCTCCATGTCGTTTTATGCGCGCAGCCATGGCTTCCGAATGATTGGCCAAACCCCGGCTCGCTAAGGTTTCCAAGTTTTTGCGTAGGCTGGCGCTTCAGAGCGTTTTCAATGGGGAAAACGTTTCAGCCCACGGTTCGGGCCCCTATGTTGAGGGGTACTTCGCGTTATGCGGTGAGGTTTATGAGTTCGTAGATTTCGGGTGCCTGTACAGGTCACTCCATTTCCGCTTGATAAATACGCGCAGGGATGTGTGTGTGTGTGTGTGTGCCTGTGAAATCTCCACCTTGCCGGCGGATTCAGAGAGAGAAGCTTTGCGCTTCCTATCGGGGTGATGTCTGCATGCCCAGGCTACCAGAGGTTTGGGGACCCACCTCCGGGGTACAAGTCCGAGCTCTGGGCTGCAAGGTGGTGCTGATGGAGAGGCAGACCAAGGTCTTCCCCCTGATCTTTGATATGGATCTCAAGGTGCGCGTCTTTTTTTTAATCAGCTTCCCCCCAAATTGGTGGTTTGGATTCTTGGTGGCTCCCAGCCATCCGGTTCCTTGGCTTTTTAGCCTTTTGATGTTTAGTGTGGTTTTCATTTAGCCCACTAAAAGTTAAGCTTTTAGCAGGGGATCTGAGGGCAGCCCAGGATTGGTTTGGATTTGAACCAGCTTCTGTAGAGGCCAACGGGAAGCCGCTCCGTTTCTCCGCCACCAAACCACCAGTTCAGCTCCAACTGGGAGGAAGCTGAGTAGGGAATCCTCCTGGGTAGGTGTTCCTTGCCCCCTTCCCTCTCAAGCAGCCTTGTGCGTCTCGCCAAGCCCATTTTCGGTGGTTTCAAACGGTTTTGGTTTGCTTGGCGGTGACTTCCCTGTAAAATACAAGAAATTCTTGGTGTAGGTCATTAGGTCGCTAATGTCTGGAGAAAACAACATTTTTTCAGGTCACCCCCAAATGGAGCAACAGTTTTTTGCTGATGGTTTTCCCCGTTGGAACCTTTTTTTTTGGTTTACCAGCCCCGGCTCGGGGCCTGGCCCGGCCAGGGGACTGGTTGGTTGGTTGGTTGGTTGGTCGGTCGGTCGGTCGGTCGGTTGGTTGGTTAGTGGGTCGGTCGGTTGGTTGGTTGGTCGTCTGGGCGGCCGCATCCCCAGCGTCCCGGTGTTAGCATCCCCAGCCTCGCTCGGACTAGGGCTGCCCAAACAAGCCCAAGACCCGCCTCATTATATAAGGCCTCAGCAAGCCCAGCACTCTCCCGAAAACAGCGAACAACACTGAACTGCCACCAAATCCAAAGCTGAACAAGGCCAGTGATGCTGGGAATGCGGCCCACCAACTCAGCCCGCCTGTTGCCCCCAGCCTGAGAGCGAAGCAAGGGTTCCCGGCCAACCTCTTCAGAGCCTTGCGCCGGGGCTAGTAAAAGCCAAAACACCTCAGCCTTTTCCTCTTTCCGCCTTGATGCTTTCAGCCATGTGTCCTTTTGGCCGGTTTCTCTGAAGTGTGGTGAGGTTTGTGGGTCATTCATTCTTCCCCCTGCGGGTTCTTTTTTGGTACTCTTTCAGTACTCTTCAATCTCTTACAAGGGCTGGTTCCGCGGAAAACCCACCTCCAAACCCATTTTCTACCGATGCTCGGCCCCCGCGCCCCAACCAAAACGCGCGCCAACACGCGCCCAGAACCGCGGGGTGTGCAGGTCACCAGCAAGGCCTTCCTGGACGCGGTGCCCTGGCGCGTGAAGAAGAGCCGCCCCTGGCGCGGGCCGGTGGACGTGTGCCGCTGGAAGGGGGCCGACCACTTTGTGCTGTCCCAGGAGCGGGGTGGGTTGGGTGGGTGGGGGTGAGGGGGGTGAGGGTGGGTTGGGTGGGTTTGAAGGGTGTGAGGAGGAGGATACATGCCAAAGCCGCCGGTTTTGCAAGGATTTGGATCCCTTTTTTTTTGGCCTGGCAGTGGGTTTCTGAAGGGTTCCTTGCATTTTCCTGAGGGAATCATCGCCCTTCCGAGGTTCGGAAGCTATATCCAATTGGACATAAACTGTGATGTGCTTAATTGCTTGCTGAAAGGGGGACTATGTTTGGGGGCCAGTGGGCCATGCTTTATTCCCATGCAGAACATGGAGCATTTCTAGCACAGCCATGCACACCTTTACGTGGGGTGTAAAAACCGGGGACATCAGATTTGGTTGTTTGCTTTTACACACCGGAGGTCGGAGACCCGATTTTAGAGCCGTAGGCCATATCCACCTTAGTCGAACCCATGTTCAGCTTTGAGAAACCAGCAGCAAATTCTGCAGGACAGGCTGGTTTTGATTGGTGCGCCAATTATTTGCTGGAGCCGTCCCAAAGCCGACCTTTTGACTTGTTTTTTTCCTCTTTTAGTCAAGGTTCCCCAAAAGGCAATTTGCTCCCAGTTGCCTCAGTGCTGCCTTTTTTCCATTTTGTGTTTCTCTTTTTTTTCTGGTTTCGGGTTCCCCCAAAAAGTCAACCACCAAAAAATCGGATGCCAATTCTTCTTCTTCCCCATGGAAATCCACTGGGCCACCCAAGTGCTTTATTGCCTTGTGTTTGGGAAGGCTTCCCCCTTAAAGTCAACCAACCCCAAAAAACGATGCCCATTTTTTCCCCCATGGAAATCCACTGGGCACCCCAGTGCTTTATTGATCCAGGCCAAACGCTGAGACTTCCGACCGAGGACTTGGTTCTGCTGCGGAATTTGGGGATGATCATCTTCCAGTTCTTCCCGGATCTGCCGCGCCTCGATTCTCGAAGCCCGAACAAAGGGCCACGAGTTCGAGCCGGCAAACGGGGCCGGCAAACGGGGCGTGGACACTTAGGGGTCTATTTTGCAACCTCCTTCTTTTAGGGACTTTGTGTTTTAGGGTATGATTGCAACACAGACTCGCAGGGAATTTGTGTGTGTGTGTGTGTTTTTTTTCTTCGGGTATTGCCTAAAACAGACTCTAGGTGTCCATGGGGTTGGGGTTGGCAAGTTGGGGCCAACTTTGAGAGAAACGCACGCACGCAGTTGTCCGTCCGAGAGTATTCCGAGCCAACCACCAGAGACCAAACCACCAAACCGCGACACCTCGGGGGAAAAAAAAAGGGCGCGCCGGGGGGGGGGGGGCTTGGGGGCGTTTGTGGGTGTTTTTTTATAGGGCTAAGGGGTTTCAAGCTGAATTCGGGGAGACCCTTTGCAGGTTTCCGTGTAGCAAATCCCCGCCCAAAGGGGATTCACTTTACAGCCCAAAAGCCATGGATAAACACCGCGTAAACTGACAACGGGGGATAAGGGAGCCCTGAGGACCTAAGCAACATCGAATGAACTAGAACTGGGGTGTGGCGCACTATTGAACCCAATTTGTCTAATGTCTAATGATCTTAGAATAGTACTGTGTGTGCATTGATTTTATCACCTTGTATTGCCCCTCCACTTTTTTTGTTTGTTGTACAACTTGAGCCGGTGTCTGATTCATCTTACGCAGTCAGGTGCTTGGTTCGGGCACAAACCAACATGTATTGAATGATGCCCACAGCCTGTCCCGTGAAGTTGACTTTCCACTGAGTTCCCTTCTGCTTAACATTCTGTTTTGCCATTTTCACTTGGCCATGAATCTCAAGGGGAAGCCCAACCCCCCAATCAAACATGGGACATACATCTCCATGGACAATCATGTCCACGGGCTTCCCAAGAACCCAGCTTCCCTCTTGCTGGTTTGGATTGGCACTTGCCCTCCAGAAGAGCCAGGGGTTTTCCTTCCTTCAACCACCATTCCAAACTGCCAACTAAGGGTTTCCTGAAGTAAACTTCCATTTATGCTTAAGAACATCTTGTATGTTCCTTCTTCTTCTTTTTTTAAAAGTTAATCGACTTCACTCCTGGATATATTTATTTTCCAATTTTTTTCCAGGGTGTGTGTGTGAGAGAAAACGCAAATGGAGGTAGCTGACCCCAATTGATATCTGAGTCTGGGGAACCCCTTTCGGCTTTCGGGTTCGCTGGTGCCAGCTGCAAACCCCCCTCTCCCCCTCCCCTCCCCTCCCCCTCCCCCTCCCCTCCCCTCCCCCCCTCCCCCTCCCCCTCACACTCCCCCCCCTCTCCCCGAAGCAAAGCTCTTCTCCGCCCAAACAGTTTGGGCCAAAATGCGGGACTTGAGGCTCATCGACTTCTGCATCTTCAATGCCTCTGGCTGGGACCGGGTCAAGGACCCGCCGGAAAAAAGACGCAATTCACCGCGGGTTTCTGTTGGAGCTCGGGCCGACCTCGGGCAACCTGAAAGGTCCAAAACACGTGGTGGCTCCCAGCCATCCGGTTCCTTGGCGTTTTAGATCGTTTTAGTGTTTAGTGGTAGTTTCCGAATTTAGCCCACTGAAAGTGAAACTTTTAGCGGGGGATCTGAGGGACGCCCAGAACATTTTTCCCACGAAAATTCTGTGGAGCTTCCTTCATGTTCCCACGATCTTTGATAGTTGTCCTTTGAGGTTCCCTCAGTTGCCCCATAATTTCCCAGAATTGTCCTTGCGGTTCGCTCATTTTCCATCTCTTGCGGTTCCTTTCCAGCCGAAATTTCCTGTGACAGTGTGTTGGGAGCCTGGTCTGATTTCACTGGGTTGTTCTGAACTGTTGTGATTCGGTTCATTTGTTGTAGTCTGTTTGGGTTCGGTCTTGTTCTTCTGGGGGTTGAGTTGAATTGGGCTGGGATGTTTGGTGTGGCTTCTTCAGGCTTGGTCAGGTTTCTTTTGGTATGTTCTGGTGTTGTTTGAGTTGGCGCGTTTGCTTCATGTTGGTTTGGTTTAGGTCGCTCCGGCTTGGGTAGGATTTTGCTTGGTTTGTTGGATTGTATTGGGGTGTGCTAACTGGTTTGTTGCGTCAGGCCAGACGAGCTCCAAACTGAGTATCTTGTCATTGCCACGGTCGCCACGCCGAAGCTAGCCTCGAAGACTTTTTTTGCTGTTGTTCCTCCCCCCCCACGGCGAGTGCGCTCATTTTCAAGGATGCTTTCAGAGCTTATGACTTAGATTCCTTGATTGACCGTGCACAAGGGTTGCTTTTGGGTTTTATGTCAGGGGGAGATGTTGTGGAACTCGGTTTCACTCGTGGTCCATTTCCGCCAAGGCTCATGAACGGGCGCCGGGACGTGTTGGTTGGGCCCTAATAAGGCGGGCCTACCCCTTTTGAACATGCACCTCCAGGTTGGGAGCCCCCTTTTTGCGCCTATAGGGACCCCTTTAAAATTAACCACCACAAGAAAATGTGTTTTTTGCCCCATGGCCACCTGGGGTCAGGGTTGCTTAAACGTGTTTAAATCAGCAACCTCCTTTCGGCTTCACTGCAAAGGAATTGCACTGAATCGGGGGTGGTTGAACACATTTGCAACACACCAGCCAGCCAACCAACCAACCAACCAACCAACCAACCAACCAACCAATCAATCCATCAATCAATCAATCAATCGATCAATCAATCAATTTCAGCCGAGCTAGCCTGTGAACCGAGCGGCCAACTTCTATCCCCTCTCAAACTCCAGCCACCCAGCATCTCCACCCCGGTGCCATCCGGCCCACACATCGGTTCATGCCGATCAGGAGGTGGTGAAGGTGTCGCTGCACCTGGTGGCGCCGTACCTTGGGCGCATTTTGCTTGGATGACTTTATAACTTTTTCCCACTCATGGCGTGGTTTTCCCCAAAGTAGAGAAAACCAAAACCTTTCGCAGGGGAGCAGAAAGCCACCAAGTTTTGGTGGATTTTTGGCGGGTTTAGTGGTGGGTTCCATTCAATCCGCTGGTGGTTGTTCACTTTTGGCAGGGGAGCAGAAAGCCACCGAGTTCTGGTTGCAAGTGGGTAAAGATGAAGTTGGGCCCGCTAAAAGTAGAACGAGTCTCGTGGAGGGGGGGTTTCCTGTACTGCAAGAGGCTATCTAAATCGGGGTTTGAGGGTTATAGTGGTTGGGTGGTTTCAAAGGGAGGATTTTCTGAACTCAGGGGTCAAAAAAAAACCGATTTGCCTTTCAGACCTTTGGGAGAGAACCGAGTTGATTTCTGGGGTTCCCACGGCCCCAGCGAGGTATGTCCTGGTGACTCCGGAGCGCCTCACCGCCATCCGCGAGAGGATGCTGGAGTACCTCGGGGAATGCTCCGCCCCTCGGCCGCGGGACGCCGCTTCGCGGCTTTCCGCCGGAGTTGTTTCTTTGCTCGGCGGGGGGTGCGAGCAGGGAATCTTCACCGTACTTGGATCATGTTTTTCGGTTTTTTGGTTTTTTGGTTCTGTTCATTTTTACTGGGGGTCTGCAAAGAACAAAGCTTTTTGCTACCATACCAAGAGTAGAGATGGAAGGTGAAATGGAATGAAACCAAAAACGGGGTCCCTTAAGAGGAAGCAGGACAAGTCGTTTGTGTTTCGGCCAGTGTTCAACGAGCTCATGAGGTAGGTGGTTCCCAAGTTGTTAGGTGGTTTAGGGGACCGAGGATGTGTGTGTGTGTGTGTGTGTGTTTTTTCTTTCTCTTTTTTTCTGCCGATTTTATTGCGATCGGCGCGAGGAGTGGGGAATGTGAAACGGAATGAACCCAGGCGTGGGGTCCCCTTAAAGGATACCGCCAGCAAGGGATGGTTTGTCTTGGGGTCATTCCATTTCTCATTCCCTGCCTGTGGCAGCAAGGATATTTGGCGAGTGGTTTTCAAGGGGCTCATGCTGTAGGTGGTTCCCAGCCTCCCGGTTCCTTAGTTGTTGTTGGCTTTTTAGGTGGTTTAAGGGTTGTGTTTCCAGTGAACCCCCGAAGGAAAAAAAAAACACACGTCGCATTGAGCAGGGGATTTGAGGACCGCCGAGCTGATGCAGGTCCTGAAAACCAGGATCCAGTTCTGATTCTTCGGCTTTGAAGTTTCATTTTTTTTTCGCAGACGCTTTGCTTGTGACTGGCTCTAACGTCCCTGTCACAAGCCCATTCTACCGATTTTGGCGTTAGGCATCCAACCAGGGTCTCGACATAGGTGTCCAAGTCACATAGATCGGCTTCTCGAGGCTTTTAAAGGAACCCAAAATTCCACGTCAGGAGGTCCTCAGATTTTTGATCGAACCGATTGGCTCCCATTGGGGGCCCATGTTTCAGATGGATCCATGAAGTCATGGATTCAGGTCTTGGGAGGTTCCGCGGGGCCTTCTCACCTTGCTGGTTCTCAGTAGCGAATCAACTGCGCTTTTTTGAGAGTGAACCTGGGGTTCAAGGGATGGCTTAGAGGTTGGGTGGCGCCTCAGGTTGACACAGTGCATTTGTTTGATTGTGCTGCTTGCTTGTGTTTTGTGCGTAGATGTGTGTGTTTTGTGTTGGTGTTTGTTGTGACTCATTTTCTGATGTGTTGCAGGGCAAGACTACTTTGATCTACAGCGACGACAAACAACAAAAAAAAAGGACAACAGGCCGCTGCTGCTGTGTCTTTTTTTTGCATTTGTTTTGCATGTGTGTGTGTGTGTGTGTGTTTTGTGTGTGTGTGTGTGTGTGTTTGCTTTGTGTTGCGCTTTGTGTGTGTGACGTTCTTGTGCTTTTTCTTTGTTGATGTGTTTTGGCGGATTTGTTGTTGCTTTGAACTGTGCTTTTTTTGTGTGTTGTGTGTTGCGTCTTTCTTGTGCTCGTTTTGTGTTGTTTGTTTGTAAACTATTTGTTGGGCTGTGTCTCATGCTTCGCGGCCACATTTGCCCCAGAAACTCAACATGAAAGCGTGCCCGGGCCTGAGCTCCTAGACTGGCCAAAAGAAGCAGGCAGCCCATCCAATCATTTTGCGTGCTTTGTCGTGCTTGTTTTGTCGTGCTTGTTTTGTCATTTTTGTGTTTTTTGTCCGGTCACTGGGCAAGGGTTTTCTCTGAGAACGATTTCTGAGGAGGTGGCGGATCACCCGCTGGCGAAGTTGCTCCAGACCTATGTGGCGGAGTCGGACGACAACACCTGGGACAAGGTGGCGCAACCGGGCGGATGCCCAGCCCCCAAGTTTGAACACGTGAATACGTTTTTTTGTCCCCTAATAAGTATATGAACAAAATACACTAATGATATATTTTGATAAATACTGAAGCAACATACAACAATGATATACATACATTATGTGTATATATATATACATATGGTCCAGCCCCCCAACCCCCCCCTCCCGCCCCCCCGCAATCCCCCCCTCCCCGCCCCCCTGTGGCATGGTGGGTGGGCTGGTTGGGAAGTCTGGAAGATTGATTTGGGGAGTTGCCTGCCCGCCCTGTGGAGTGGTTTTCGGCCTTGCTTGCGTTTGGTTTGGGTGGCGTGCTTGCTTACGAAAGGAAGTTTAGAAGGAACTGACGCGGAACGGACACTAATCGAAAGCTATCTCTCTGACAAAAGACGAAAGAAGAATCAGGCACGCATGAAAAGATGCGTGAGCGGGGGTGGCAGCGAATGGACATATCCAAAAAGTGCGGAGCGCGCCCGAAGCACACAGCAGTCCAGGGCACCCAAATGTGCGCGGGGGCGGGGGCTCTGGGGGCGGGGGGGGGGGGGGGATACCATGGGGGGGAGGGTGTAGGAGGTCAGAGAACGGGATCATATATTGATGTTGCTTTCCGTTTGCTGGTAGTTGGCTGCAGCCTCGGGTCCTCTCCCTCGAACCCCAAAGCTGGAGCCAGCCTTGGGCCGAGAGCCGTGCGAGGAATCCGGCGGCTCCCGGATGATCCAAGGAAATGATGCGCGAGTCAATTGCTGGAAAGGCAACTTGATCTTTTCCATTTGCTTGGGGTCACGTGTATGGGGAGCCCGCTATTCCCAACTCTAACCCCCCAACTCATCCTGACTGCCCGAAATCCGAGAACAAGTTTATGCATACATGCAAACTAATTCTTCAGATCTATCTTCGTCCTTTTTCGAGGGTACTATTTTGAGATGGTGAGCCATGATGGGCTTGTGTTTTTGTGAGGGTAGCCTTTTTGGCGTGGATTTTGAAGGGAACCACAAGGAACAGACAGTTTGGAGGTTCCCCCCGCCTTAGCACTGTCTTTTTCGAGGGTACCCGTTTTTGGTAAGTTTTAGAGGGAAACTAATAAGAACGCCACATTTTTTCCCCAACAGCTGAAGGCTATGGTTTGTCTCTGTCCGCACAAGCTCTGTGGTTTGGGGCTGCTTTCAGGGAGGGTTTCAACGGATTCCGACCACCCGGGCTTTGTTTGCTTTTCTCACTTCCTGAGTTCATGAACTGCAACACTTTTTGGGAAGACACCATTTTAGTGGTAAATATAAAGATTGGACTTTTTTTGTGGCCATCCGCTCAGCAAGTGAGTTTTGTTCTTGTTGGGGGGGAGGCCCTGAGGAACAGGACACAAGCCCCAAGCCCCAAAGCCCCCCAGGTGGTGGACCAGACGGTGACCAGCGGCACCAACGGGCTGCGAATGCCGTACTGCGACAAAGCCCACAGGACGCCGTGCGACGCCGGGAGAAAGGGTGGTGAGCCACTTGGGAGCGCCCCAAAGAACGAGGTGAATCCCCCTTAGCGGGACTGGGATATAACCTAGATTCTGTGTTCCATTGGTTGGGGGGTTTGGTGGGTATCTAGGGTTTTGCCTTTGGCCTGGCCGAAAGAAAGGCCCTGAATTGATCCACATGTTGCGGCAATAGTCAGGGGCCTTTCTCGCGCGCCTTTTCTTTTTAGCGGGCCTGGGCTTGCCCGCTTTTCAAAACGAATGCCCCATGCGTGTGAGAGGCTGCAGCCGAGGGATGTCAAGGACTGCTTTTGGCAACTTGAGGCCTCTGATCATGTCCTTGGTGGCCACTCCTGCCCTACCCTGTGGGCTAGCACATGGAGACTCCCCAACGAGTGGAAAGCAAGGCCGACTTTTTTTGATGTTCAAGAGCCAACGGCTATGATGCTTTGAGCCAGGCTTTTGGGTCTTCAATCTGCAAGGCCATGGAGCACAGGCAATGTAAAACGTCCCAGATGGTTGTGGCGCAAGCAGGTGCAGCATTGCCCGTCGCCCTTCAGGTTTTGTGGATCAAAATAATAGTTTCCTTTGGCAGCCTTACTATGAACATTTGGAACCATTCCTGTGTAACAGCAAGTTGCGCCACTCGCTGCAGACTAGCCGTTCTTGCTCAGCCAAATGAAGCACGCTTGGGTCGCATGTTTGTGGGAAATGTGCATGCAGGCACCCAAGCTTCGCCGATCAGAAGCCCGTTTGCACCATGGGCTACCCTAAAAACTGCATCTCCAAACTAAGCCCTTCCTGCTAAGAACGTTTGGCTGGAGCAGTCGCCACTGCTTCTTGGCACACAAAAGGAATAGTTTTGCTTGGAATCATTGAACCAACGGGCTGTGAGCCTGGTAAAGGCCAAAGTGTGTCATGAAGGATGTGCAAAATCCTGGACGGCGCCAGGGTGGCCATGTCGGCCTGCCACTCAATTTCATGATTTCATAACACCACGAGACATCCAGGCTGATCAAACATCCAAGCTTTTCGAAAACTGCCTCCTCGCCAATGGACAAGTTGTTTTTGTTAAATTGCCTGTGCTATGCACTTTGTGTTTTGCCGCCCTCCCACCAACAGGCAGAAACAATTTTCGTGACATTCAAAAATTGGAGCCTTGCAAATGGACGGTGTTGGACCGGGTTTTGGAGCCCTCACTTTGCCTGTGATGTGTAGTATGCGGTGTGATGTGATGCGGTGTGATGTGTAGTATGTGCTGTGATGTGATGTGATGCGGTGCGGTACAATTTAATTGGTGTGATGTGAGGGGGTGTGGGTGTGATGCGGTGTGATGTGATGCGGTGTGATGCGATGCTATAATGTTCTGCAATGTGATATGTTGCCGCGACGTGATGAGCTGTGGTGTGATGTGATGTGGTGTGTCAAGATGTGGTACGCTGTAACGTGATGTGGTGTGGTGTGGTGTGATGCGATGTGTTGATGTGATGCATTGCGTCGCGATGCGCTTTGCCTGGAAAAAAAGGCACCACAAACAAAAGGACTTCACTTCGCCAATGAGCTGTTTGCTGCCTAGCTGCGTTTGGACCAAGCAAAATCAAATTTTAGCGCATCCTGATCAAATCTGACCAAAGCCGTGTCTTGATCAGATTTGATTAGGCTTCATGTTCTTTGGTTTGGGGTTGGGACCTAGCAAAACCAAATCAGATCAAATCTGACCAGGCCGATCAAATCTGATCAGACCTGATCAAACCTGATCAGATCTGACCAGCACTGTGTTTTTGATCAAGCTTGATTTTGCTTAGTTTGGGCCTAGGGAGACAGCAAGCAGATTATTTTACCAAGGGGCTTGCTGCTGTTGGGCCTTGAGTTCTGAAGATGGAACTATTCGAGTTTTTCGAGTTGACAGGGTCCAGTGTTGAGTTTTGCTGAGCTTGGGAATGTTCATGTATAGGGTCTTCCCCTACCAGGAGGTACAAACAGATGTGTGTGTGTGTGTGTGCGTTTGTGCCGTGACGCGCTGTAAAGTTGTGATGTGGCGTGTTGCGCTGCGCTGTGATGTGGCGCGGTGTGGTTTCATTTGCCGTGATGCGGTGCGGTGCGTAGTGTGATTTGATGTGATGTAGTGTGACGTGTTGCGACGGCGATGCGACGTGCTTGATGTGATATGATGTGATATGATGTGATAAGATGTTGTCATGTGATGTGGTGATGTATTGTGTTGTGATGCGCTGTGCTGTGATGGTTGCGGCGTCGTATGTTGTGTTGCGATTTTGTGTGGTGTGGCTTGCTGTGATATGATTTGTGTTGCTGCACTGCGATGCCATGTGATGTGATGTGTTGCAATGTGGCATAAAGTGATGCGGTGTGATGTCACGTGATGTGGTGTGGCGTAGTGTGATGTGATGGGTGTGATGTGTTGTGTTTTGGCGCCATGTAATGAAAATGTCATCTTATGTGATGTGTTGTGGTTTTATGTGCCGTGATGTGATCTGGTGTGGTGTGGTGCGATGTCATGTGCTGCAATCTGATGCGATGTCATGTCATGTGATGTAGTGTGATGTGTTGCGATCTGGTGTGATTTGGGTTCATGTGTGTGTGTGATGATGTGATGTGATGTTGTCTTGTGATGCGTTGTGTTGTGTTGTGATGCGACTTGTGGTGTTGTGATGTGGTATGGCGGGATGGGATGTGTTGTGATGCAATGTGTTGTGGTGTGGTGTGGTGCGCTGTGGTGTAATGCGATGTGATGCGGCGAGGTGTGAAGTGGTGTGGTGCGGTGGGCCTAGAACAAACAGCAACCTTTCAAGAAGGACTGGTGCAGAAGCACTCAGCCCTTGAGCTGGCCTTTGCAAGAAAACGATTCAGATGGTGTAGAACTTGTTTTCGTGCGCTATTCATGGTTTCATTGATTGTGCTTGGCGCAAACACTTGTTTTTATTTGATTGTGATATTTGATTTCGATATTGAAGGAGGGCCCTAAACTTAATAAATGCTGTAAACAACACCACGAGGATCCCAACCAACTTCGGCTACTTGTCGAGCGTCCAAGCCGTGCAGCTAGGCATCGGTATCGGGCAGCCAGACGACTGCGGCAACAAGGGGTCCCAATGGCCGAAGCACTCCAGATTGTACGCAGCAAGCCAACAAAGCCTGAACAAAAAAGGTTTAGTGACAGCCTGCCCGTCATTTTGTGAGGGTGCCATTGGGAAATCTTCTTTGTTTGTACGTCACGTTTTGTGAAGACTGTATTTTGAAAGGTCCGTTTTGTGAAGGGCTGATGAAAACATATCCTTACAAATCCCCAACACCTCTTGTTTGTGAAGAATGGGGACCTCATCCGTCACAAATAGTAGCGGAGGTGGAGAGCTCTTCAACATTCTCCAACCGCCCGCGAAAGATTTTAATAATTTTCGGGATTTCCGAAAGGGTTTGTGACTGACTGGGACACAATCCGTCACAAAGCGTAGGGTTCAGTCAGCCGGCCATGTTGTGAAGAATGCACCATTTTTTGGTCAAACCATGTTTTGTGAAGAATCGGGACCGAACTCGTCACAAAATGCTATGTCACGGGGCTGACTCGTCACAAAACACCTATGTAACCCCTGCGCTCGTCACAAACACCTATGGCAACGTTCGGGCTCGTCACAAAATATCATAAACGGAATGCGGTGTCGCAAAACAATTGGGTTTCAGCCGCCTTTCCCCAGCCCTTCCTTTCTTTCTTCCAACAGACAGTCTCGATCAACTTTGCTGAAAATTGGTCGATTGAAGGGCGGTTTCCAATAGAATTTAATAATAGGGCCCTGGTTCAAAATCAAAATCAAATATCACAATCAAATAAAAACTAGCTTTTGTGCCAAGCACAATAAATGAACACATCAATAGTGCACGAAAAGAAGTTCTAGACAATCTGAACCGTTTTCTTGCAAAGGCCAGCTCAAGGGCTGAGTGCTTCTGCACCAGTCCTTCTTGAAAGGTTGCTGTTTGCACTAGGCCCACCGCACCACTACACTTGACACCTCGCCGCATCACATCGCATTACACCACAGCACACCACACCACAACACATTGCATCACAACACACCCCATCCCGCCATACCACATCTCAACACGACAAGTCGCGTCACAACACAACACAACGCACCACAAGACAACAGCACAGCACATCAACACACACATGAACCCAAATCACACCAGATCGCAACACATCACACTACATCACATGACATGACATCGCATCAGATTGCAGCCAAACCAAACAACATCACACCACACCACAGTTCAGCGCAACCCATCACGTCACGCAACATTACCTCGCATCGGATCACACCACACCACATCGCATCACACTGCACCACATCACAGCGCAGCACATCACAACACAACACATCACCGCACCACATGGCAACATCATATCACATTTTATCACGTCATATCACAGCGAAACACATCAACACAAATCACATCGCCGTCACAACACATCACACTACATCCCATCACATCATACCGCACCACATCACAGCAATTAAAACCACGCTGCGCCACATTACAGCGCAGCGTAACACACCGCATCACATCACAGCACATCACAGCACATCACAGCACAACACATTACTGTGTTTGTACCTCCTGGTAGGGGAGCCGAGGCGAATCACAATGTAACATTTTGAAACCCTGACTCCTCTAAAGGAAGACCCTGTGCGTGAACAGTCCAAAACCTCGGAAACTCAACACTGAACTGTGTCCGCTCAAAAAAAACGAGTTGCTTCATCTTCAGAACTCAAGGCCCAACAGCGGCAACCCCCTTGGTGCAATAAACTGTTTGCTGTCTCCTTTGGCCCAAACCAATCAAAATCAAGCTTGATCAAAAACACAGTGCTGGCCAGATTTGATCAGACTTGACCAGGTCTGATCAGGTTTGGTTTTGCTTGGTCCCAACCCCACACCGACGAACATGAAACCTGATCAAATCTGATCAAGGCACAGTTGTGGTCAGTTTTGATTAGATGCGCCAAGATTTGGTTTGGCTTGGTCCAAATGCAAGTAGGCAGCAAACAGCTCATTGGCCAAGGAAAGTCCTTTTGTTTGGTGGTGCCTTTTCTTTGCCAAGCAAAGCACATCACAACGCAACACATCACATCTTGACACGCCGCGTCTCATCACACCACAGCTCATCACATCACAGCAACATATCACATCACAGCACATGACATAGCATCACATCACACCACATCACGCCACATCACACCGCACCACGTCGCATCACACCACACATCACATCACACCGCACCACATCACAGCGCATACTACACATCACAGGCAAAGTGAGGGCTCAAACCCGGTCCAACACCGTTCATTTGCAAGGCTCCAGAATTTGAATGTCATGAAAATTGTTTCTGCCTGTGGGTGGGAGGGCGGCAAAATACAAAGTGGATAGCGCAGGCAATTTAACAAAAACAACTTGTCCATTGGCAAGGAGGCAGTTTTCGAAAAGCTTGGATGTTTGATCAGCCTGGATGTGCTGCGCTGTGATGCCATGGGGTGTCACGTGCTGTCATGAAACCATGAAATCGCTGTCCAGGATTTTGCACATCATTCATGATACACTTTGGCCTTTACCAGGCTCACAGCCCGTTGGTTCAATGATTCCAAGCAAGCCTATTCCTGGCGACTGCTCCAGCCAAGCGTTCTTAGCAGGAAGGGCTTAGTTTGGAGATGCAATTTTTAGGGTAGCCCATGGTGCAAACGGGCTTCTGATCGGCGAAGCTTGGGTGTCTGCCGGCACATTTCCCACAAACACGCGACCCAAGCGTGCTTCATTTGGCTGGGCGAGAACGGCTAGCCTGCAGCGAGTGGCGCAACTTGCTGTTACACAGGAATGGTTCCAACCTCGATGTTCATAGTAAGGCTGCCAAAGGAAACTATTGTTTTGATCCACAAAACCTGAAGGGCGACGGGCAATGCTGCGCCTGCTTGCGCCACTACCAACTGGGACGTTTCACAGTGCCTGTGCTCCATGGCCTTGCAGATTGAAGGCCCAAAAGCCTGGCTCAAAGCATCATAGCCGTTGGCTCTTGAACATCAAAAAAAGTCGGCCTTGCTTTCCACTCGCTGGGGAGTCTCCATGTGCTAGCCCACAGGGTAGGGCAGGAGTGGCCACCAGGACATGATCAGAGGCCTCAAGTTGCCAAAAGCAGTCCTTGACATCCCTGGGCTGCAGCCTCTCACACGCATGGGGCATTCGTTTTGAAAAGCGGGCAAGCCCAGGCCCGCTAAAAAGAAAAGGCGCGCGAGAAAGGCCCCTGACTATGGCCGCAACATGTGGATCAATTCAGGGCCTTTCTTTCGGCCAGGCCAAAGGCAAAACCCTAGATACCCACCAAACCCCCCAACCAATGGAACACAGAATCTAGGTTGCCAACAACTTACGAACTTCAAGTAGACTCATATTTTTCGATGTGTTTCTCCGGATTTTTGGGGTGGGTCTTCAGCCGACTGGATGGACGAAAACCGCTTCCCACAGGATTGGTGGCGTATCAACCAGTTGTCAGGGTTTCATTTCATCCATCCCAGCTGGTGTCGATCGGCTTTAGGTTTTAGTCTACTTTTCAATTTGCCAGGGTTCCATACTGGGTACCTATTTTTGACCCACAGCCACGTAGCGCTGTAAGAGAAGCATCCCGGAAATCGGTGGCCAAAAGCTACCCTTCCCGGGCCCAGTCAGCCCGGGAGGTCAGGCACCGAAAAAGGGGGCGAATCTCTGCATGAGACCTTCCAAGTGGATGGTTTTGCCAGATTTTTTTTTTTTAATGTTTTGTTCTTATTTTTTTTCTTCGGGGGCTTGGGGAAACCGAGGGAAAGGCAGCGGCTTGAGACGACTTGACGGACTTCTTTTTTTCGGGTCGGGGAGTTGGTTGGATGCCTTTGCCTTGCCAGGGTCCAGACCGCCTTGTTGCAGGGTCAGGGACCTTTTCAGTGAGGGGGTCTTAACACACAAACAAAGACCCACGGCACAGAGCCAAAGTAAGAACGATAGGGTTCTACAGGGCACGGGATGAGAGGGAAAATGTTTTTCCTTGCTTCAGGTACACATGCGACAACCCAACAGTGATCGAGAATTAGATCTGCTTGCCCCGTCCCTAACCCTTCCCAACCCTGCATCTATGGAATTGGGTGGACATGGAAACCCTAAAAATGAGTGGTGTCCCCTTTTGGTTTTCCCCCGAAGACATCCAGTTTTCGGGGTGCCAAACATCACCCCCAAATATGGACACCCTCACCCCCAGAATGAATTTTAGGAGTAAGGGTTCCCCACCAAGGAATCAGCATCTCATCCCTTGTTCATAGAATTCTCTTTGTTGCCAACCAACTTTGTATGGTGCACAAAACCCATTTCCGGGAGAGGAGGATGATCAGCATGCCTCTTGTGGTCGTTTGCCCAAGGTTATGTAACACACCCCTGGACAAATGGACAATATGCCCCCCAGTAGTGCCCTTTTACCCTTTTTTGGTGGAGGGTTCCCCTACTAAAATAGACTACAGAGAAAAGGGTACCCTTATTGTAACCTCTACTGGAGGACCTAGACAATATCACCGCAGTTTGTTTCCATCATGTTTTGTCGGGGATTTTCTGGTCCCGGAACACCAAAGCAAGCACTGACCATGGTCCGAAGGTTTCCTTGCACCCAAAGCAAGCCGTGTTTGGCCGAGCTGGAAACCTAGGGTTGTCTAAGAGTCTACGGCGAAGTGGCCTCTGAGCCTTTTGAAGGACAGCCAAATGTTCTCAGAACTCCCCCCAATTCCCCTCAAAAAACCCTTTCTACACTGGCACGCCCATAGGCGTCTCACTTAAGTTGGAATCCAAGCAGAGTTCGAAGGTCCTCTAGGAGCGGGTTTGAGAATGTTCCGCAAGTCCGGGAGTCGTTTTGCCGCCTGCTGGGACGGCAACAGAAAGGCACACAAGGGCCCCAAGTGTTGCAACCATCCCCGCCGCTTTGGAATTTGTGGGGTGGGTTTCTCTTTTGGTTTCCAACTGTTTTGGAGAAAAACCATGTCATTGAGGTTCTTTCCTGACACAGGGGAATCCAGAAGGCCCAATCCGTAGCCCACTCTCTTGGAGCATTTCGAATCCTGTGATTTGCAAGTAGTCCGAGGCAAGACACCTCTTGGACCCACCCAGCCTTGGGGCCTGCACGATTGGATCTTCAAAACCTCCAGTCTTAGGCTTTCGGTGGTCCCATGAATCAAATCTTCCGTCGAGGTGTTCAAAGGCGATCACCTGGACATGTTGGACATTTCCGGCCATAGCAGTTAAGTTTGACATGGGACGCAAGGCGCGGCTTCTTTTCTGTGGTTTTCCTTCGAGCCCAACAAAAAAGGTTTTCGCCAGAGGCCATTTGGGCAGTCAGAGCATCAAACACTCAAGCATGAAACTTTTTTTGTTTGAGATGTCCTTCGGCTTCCCAAAAAAATCGAGTGAGCACTCGGCCCTTTTCAGCGGCAGCAAAAAACCGAAGCAACTCCGCGGGTGAAAAGCCGGGAGGATCCTGAAGCGCGAGTTCGTGGAGCGCAAGGCGCGGGGGGAGTTCTTCACGGAGAGGCAGCTCATGGACCAGCACGCCTACCTCAAGGAGGAGGACGGGGTGGGCGCCCTTTCTAGAGCCCCGGGAATCTTCGCTGGGCGTTAGTTGAAAAGTTAAATAATGGCATGCTTTTTGGTTTTTTAGTTTTTTGGTTCTGTTAATTTTTACTGGGGGTCTGCAAAAAACAAAGTTTTTTGCTACCATACCAAGAGTAGAGATGATAAGTTGGTAGGTTTGGCGGTATATCCCAGTTATAAGTACACCTAAGTGGGATTAAACTGATCCGAAGTGAGTTGGTTTTTTTTTTTTTTTTTTTTTTTTTTTTTTTTTTTTCCGGGGGTGTTTTTTTGTTTTTTTCCCCGAGTTAGCAGTACCGCGTTAAGTGGGATTACACTTGTTAGGCGGTTGTATCCCAAGTGGCTGAGCACGTACTTGGCAAAGAACATCCGAGTAGGGAATCTGATCCTGTTGGTGGACCTTGGCCGGGCTCCGGCGCGCTTGAGGTTTTTCTCCTCTTTTTTCGGGCGGGGGGCGGGGGGTGGGTCGGATTGGGAGAACCGAGGAGATGTCATTTGGAACCTTGAATTCTGGGGAAAACCAAGGTAATCACAGCGTTCCTTTACCCCTGTTCCGTACTTACAAGCAAGCTAGGGCTAGTTGGGGGTCCACCTGTGCACCCAAACGCTCCCCAAGTGGGAGAGGCGTCAGATGGAGAGCGCCCCTGGCATCAAAAGTGCCGGCCTTTAGGGATGGGTCCCCTTTTTGCTTGCTCCGTTTTTTTAGGTTTTCTTCTCAGGCCTTCTGCACGGCGAAGGAAAGCCAAGAGTCCCTCGGAGAAGCTTTGTCGATGCTGGCCTTCAGAGACCTCCGTCAATGCGGATCTCGCCATGTCATAGGCGCTTGTGTTAAGACGTCCTTGCTTGTGTGTAGTCGTCCTGATCGGATGCTTGCCAAATGCAATTGCCAGCGCTGGTGGGCAGAGGCGTGTGACCATTTCGTTGGTGCCCCCTGGTGTTTGTGCCTGATCCGCCCTGTCTTTCGGACGTTGCAGCGGCCTCGGCGCTCAGTTCCTTGCTCTTGTCGCGGACGACTTTTGCATGTTGGATCTCATCTCCTTGGCCTTCCAAGCGATATGAAACATGCTTGTCGGCGTGTGCACGCGGTTTCTCCTTGGATCGCGGCTCAGCGTTGCCCTGGCCCGAAGCGGGCATCGTGACGCGTGGTGTCCAGATGCAACAAAGTGACTTTTTAGGCGAGTGCAGGTGGCCTACTAGCGCCAAGGGTCTCATCATTCCCAACTGGTGCAACTTTTGGCCGATGTTGCCTTCTCAGTTGTTTCCAAGTTTCGAAGGTCTCTGAAGATTTTGCTTACATCCAGTCCGCTTGCAAAGTAGCGGGGTGCATGACCCTTCAAACTGCTTTTAAGCATTGAACATCACGCGAAAATTCTGGGGCACTATTACATCTGGGTCCAGGTACACTGGAGTAAATATGAGCTTCCACTTGCCTGCCAACTCCATGCATCCGCGCACGCCAAAGTCAGGTTACCCTGTGGGTGCCGGATATGGAAGGGGCCGGGCGGGGGGGGGGGGCATATGGATATGTCTACAAATCGGGGGCTTCCCATCCCCATGTTCACAACCCCGAAGAGATATCCCTGCCAGGGTAGCTTCAAAAAAATCCCATGCCTGCATTCTTGGCTGTTCGGCCAAGTTAGTAAGTAGTTAGCCACTTGGGATATAACCCGCTCACAAGTTTATTTTCACTGAACGGGGTACTTATAACTTGGTGGCTCCCAGCCATCTCCTTGGCCTTTTAGCTTTTAGTGTTTAGTGGTAGTTTCCATTTCACCCACCAAAAGTCATTCACTTTTAGCGGGGGATCTGAGGGCAGCCCAGAAGTCATGGTAGAACCTTGGTTTGCAGAAAGCAGGACACATCTTTGGGAGCTCTTTGCCTTCCCTGCCCAATGTTCAACCTAGCAGTGGCTCGATGAATCCACCTGGCTTGACTGGGCAAAACAAAAACAAGGCCGGCAACCGAGCGCCCAAGTTGCGTTGGCCAGGCGGGTCGGCCTTGCCTGCCAGAGGGGATCTTGAGGCTGTCTCTGGCTGGCGACAGCGCCCTTCCGGAGGCGATGGAATCGAAGGGATTGCTGGGGTTTTGGGGGGTTGGCAGAACGTCGGAGCCACACTCAAAACCTGGGTAAGCTGCGGATCTCCGCCATCTTTGTTCTTTACAGGGTTCTGGGTCGACCATTTTTGTCTCCGGTTTTGATTGTGACTCACCTGGACTGTATGTCCGTTGCTTGCTGGTTCTCAGCAGGGGATGAGAAATGGAATTAATGACCCTAGAAGCCATCCCCAGTTTCCTTTAAGGGAATTCCCTTCCAGTTCATTCCCCACTCCCTACTGAGCACCAGCAAGAATGGACGTGCGCAGGGCAGACCATCTTGAAGAAAGGGAATCATGGGTGCTCAAAATAGGAACCAACCACCTAAGAACGGCAAGGGTTGGTCCTTTTGCCAAGCAAAGGCGGGTCACAAGCCATTTTGAGAAACTCTCCATATGCTAGACATGTTTTCGATTGCTAAAATAGGCAGCATCTCGCATGAACCCCACTAGTGCAATAACCCGTTCGACCCATGGTTGTTTTCAGACCCAAGTTGGCTGCTCATGGCGGATCAACACTGCTGCATGTGCTGCGAGTGTTGCCAGTGGAAACTCACCCGAACATGTTCCTTGTGTCCTGCCAACATGCCGAAGCGCCCACGGTCAGATGCTGGCGTGACGCACAGATTAGAGAGAAATGTAAAACACCAGAAACAAGCTCTTGTATCACGTTTGAAACCTACAGTATGCGTATGATGTCCCCAAAAAAAACTGCCAAGAAGAGACATAGATGACATGGCAAAGCTCATTGATTGGTTTGCACAGGATGTTAGCTGTAAAACCCGATCAATCATCATGGACATGATCCTAAATGCTGGAATCATACATATACACTTCTGGATGTCCAGAAAAGCAACATACATGGTATGATCTCCTGCAAATGTTGGATCAAAGAAAAGTGCATTAGAGTGATCATCGCCCAGCATTGAGTGTCCAGGTCAGGTAGGTAATGTGAATACAAGCATGACAGCTGCAAGAAAGAAAGAGAAAGGCCTGAAGCCATAGAGATTGAGAGTCCTGATAGAAGATTCCTGTACTGGAAGGTGATACAGTCAGAACAGAAGTGGATAATTGTGGAGATGATGTTCATCCTTTACCACCTCCAATGTCTGAGATAAAAGAAAGGATCTGGAACAGATATGATGGGACAAGATATGAAAATAAAACAACTGTAATGGAAGCATATTGATTCCATTCTATACCACTTCTGGAAACCCTCGAAAGATAGGTACAAAAAACATGCCCCACACACAAACAGCATGCAACGTTCAAACTATGGGAGACATAGCATATGTATAATTTGTATGTAAACATATATATATATATATATATATATATATATATGTGGGCAAGTGCCAAACTTTGTAAACCATGGAGATGCAATAAGAAGCAAGTCGGTCCCCTGTATGGCTTAGTTGAACATCACATTCACCCCTTTGGACGTGGACCCGCTTCTGGAAGAGGAGCGTCCTCTTGAGAGATTGGGGAATGCCAGCAGTCCCCAAGGAAGGCAGAAGTTCAACTTGTCGAGGTCTCCTTTTCCTCATTTTTTTCAAATCGGGGACTGAACATATGGTTGGTTGGGCTGGCTGGATCCCTTTGTCGGTGGGGATGACAATCATTCTTGGGTCTTGCATGTTTTTCTTGGGTTGACCCCAACATGAACATCACCGCAAATCGAGATTTAAAGTCGCACCAGATTGCGACATCGCCTTTATGTTGCTAAAACAAACCTCATTCTTGTGTATATATATATATATATGTATATATGTCTCTTTCCGGGGTTGAACCCCGATATATCCTCCATCGAGGGTTTCTTGTTTTGGGGCCCAAAGTGTGGTTTCATGTTCATTTGCAGGGGAGGTGCCCAAGCCTCCAGGGCATTTCAGTGGAACCCTGACAATTGTCGCAAGCAGCCGCCCTTTCGGGCGTTCCTTTCGGCTCGCCTTGCTACTGCACTACAGCTCGCGCGAAGCGTTTTTTGAAATGCACCTACCTGGACCCTCAATAGTTCGTACAAATGGGGTACTTACCCAACATTTGGGAGTTCTTCGGGGCTGACCAAAATTATACAAAAACCAGGGAACTAATATTTCCCACAAATCAGTGGACTTGCTAAGTTTTGCCCACAGTACCACGGAAGTACTCAATGTTCACAAACTCAACAACACCCAGGTGAACGGCTTCAAGTGTCCCGACAACTGTCTTTGGCATGAGTTTCCTGCGGGAAATCCGGATTGGGCTTGTCTTTTTTGAGGTGACCCCCCAAAATAGCTTTGGCTTCATTTGGTTTGTCCTTAGAAGCCGACCAGCAACTGCGGATGGACGCAATCCCTTTCGCACCACTTTGCAGCCATGCTCAACCATTTGTTGGAATTTACGTTGGGGAAATCGTCGAATGAGACACCCGGGTTTCTGGCCGATGACGCCTAAGAGGATTTCGTCCAAGGGGCGCCAACTCAGGATGTGGCTGTGGGTCAAAATGAATCGGATCCCATTTGGGGTAGGTGCACCACCCATTTTGGAACCTATTTTAGTGGGGATTGGGACTTAGTTGTTCAGTGGCACCCTTTTCCCTCTTTTTTTTTTGCGACTGCTCCACTAAAAATGGTCTTCCCCAAAACGGGTTCCCTTTTTCTTCCGGTCACTGAACAACAGGGGATGTTCACTGGGGGTACCTCCTTTTCGGCCTCACTTTGGGGCGGATCTTCACAATCATGTACCACCTATTTTGATGTTCACCACAGGGTTTTGACCACTACAGCCAACTCGTCGACATGACCTCCGTCGGCCGAGCGGATCGCCGATCGCCGATCGCAGGCGCGGTGGATGTGCAAGGCGCAGGACCTGCCGCTGGAGGAGTGGGTCCGCCTGGGCCGCTGCCGCCGCTCCGACGGAAAGACGAGAACGGGCGATGGGGGGTGCAAGCTGAGGAATTGAAAGAGGAAGCTCTTTGCAATTCGGCGGGATTCGAGGTCTGAGTTCAACTGAGTTCTGTAATTATCTTTTGTTTTTTTTGGCATGTTAGAAGTGAAGCATGTTGTCAAATGTTTGGAATCCAATCGAAAAGCGAGTTACGTGTCCTTTTTCATGTTTCACAGCCCACAGGGTCACTTTCCTGTTTTGACACTCTTGCAAAATCATGGTGGCTCCCAGCCATCCCCTTAGCCTTTTAGCTTTTTAGTGTTTAGTGACGGTTTCCAATTAAGCCACTAAAAGTTAAACTTTTAGAGGGTACAGAGATTGCCTTTTCACACGAGCTTGGGGGAAAAATGTAGGGGACTCACAACTTCGTCCGCAAGAACCAGCGGACTCACTAAATGTGCCATTGCTTCTGATGGAAGCCAGTCATTTTTTGGCCGTGGCTCACATAAAATTTGTTTGAGGCGCATACACCAGACTTGCTGTTTAACCCGCTTCTTGCTGCAGTAGAGGTTGGAACCGGTGCCCATATGTGCCATCAAAACAGCCGCTCGGAACTATTGCGGATGGTCATCACCCTCTGGGGGGGAGGGGATCTAGACAGCCACCGCAGGGGCTCCAGTTAAGAGAAGTTTTGATTCACATGAATTTTGCCGACTGATCTTCTGTTCACCCCGGAAGCAATCTGCTAGGTCAAGCTCATTGGTTCCCCTTAGACATGTTGTTTGTTTGGGTTTAGAGGCAACAGTTTGTGACACATTTCAGACGAAAAGTTGGACTCGTAACAAGGGACGCGGACATGGCTCCATTTTTCTTCGGTACACACCTTCATTGACAGCGTCTTTGGTTCGACCTTCAACATTGTAGCCGTTTGGAAAACAAAGGCATCCCACTCATGCGCGAAAGCAAAGCCTTTGCCGGCCCAATAAGCCCTGAGTTCAATCCTTGAACGTAAAGAGACCACGTAAAAAGATGGCTTCTGCCAGGTAAGTAGAACTTCCCGGACCATCAAGCTACTCACAAAGTGGGATGATCCCCCCAAATCACAGTGATTGCTCATGTTTAAAGGGGATCCAATAATAGGCTGGGTTGTTCGACGACAATCCTTAATTCTTTTGCCAGATGGAGTGGTTTCCCGTTACAGGTTCTGGATAAGGAGTACGGATTTTCCCATTTGAACAGCCCAGATAGGTTTCGGCGCACGACGAGCTTCCCAATTCGGGGGAAAATGTGTGAACGGTCCTGATGAAGGTCCTTTTCTAGCAAATCTCATATATCTGGTTCGATAACTATCCAGCCCACCAAAGCCAGGTTGGACTCACCATCTCGTTTCCAGGTCTTTCTCTTGAAAAAGAACCAACCTTAGCCCACAGGATGGTCCATTATTTGAAGTCCATTTGGAGAATGAAAGGTCCTTTTGGGAACAAAAGGAGAACCTTGAAACAAACTTAGGGGTTGATTCCCCATTCTTTTCAACCATCGTTCATGGGGAAGTATCCCCTAGAAAGCTTGCCATCCCTCCGATTTTAAGCTCATTTCCCTGCCAAGTGGAACAACCAGAAGACGGCCACCACGCGCCCCACGCGCCCCACGCGCGCCCCACGCGCGCCCCACGGGTGCGCCTCGACGCGAGCGCCTGCAGGCTACTCCTGGCGCCTGCCGCTGGCGCCGCCGGGACCTACGCCCTGGCGCCCGCCGCTGCAGTACCAGTGGGCCGAGCCCGCGCCCCTCTGGGAGGCTCCGCTCCACGGTGGTCTCAACATCGGGGGACGGGTAGCCCTGGTAGCCTATGATGGACACAAATGTTGGTCTATTTTGTATCCTCTTTTATTTTTCTGTGTTTTTTTGAGTTTGCGCTTTTCGGGTTGATCGGGGGAAGGGTAGCCCCCCCCCCCCCCGGCCCCCCCGGAGGATGGACACAAATGATGAGGTTTATGTTGCAACCTCATTTATTTTTTTTGGGGGGGGGTGGGGGAAGCGGTTTTTTGGAGTTGCCGCTTTTCGGGTTGTTTGATTGTTTTTGGGGGGTAACCCCGAATATGTAACATGCACATGTTGTTGTTTGTCTGGTTTCCCACGCCAGGAATATGTGAGCCGTCAAATGCTTTATATATTCCCTTGCCACGTACTCCCCCCCCCCCCCCCCCCGGCGGTGTATGATGGGCGCTGAGCGGGTCTGTGTTGCAACCTCCTTCTTTTAGGGAATTTGTGTTTTAGGGTTGGCTGCAAAATAGATTCTACTTGCCCATGGCACAGTACCCCCCCCCTCAAATGGATCGGTGGCCTTCGGTTTCTCTTCAAACCAACCCCCAAACAGGGTACCAAATGGACGCCAAAAGGAAAACCGAAATCCAGTTTGGGGGGTGTTCCAAAAAAAGACACACCCTTTTTCACCTTACAAACACGAGGGGGCGGGGGGTTGAGGTTGACACGGGGTGGGGCCCTTAAGAGAAACCAACAGGCAGTGGAGAACCATGCTCCTAGTTTGAGACAAATCCTAAGAACGGGCATTGCCAGGGGCTTAGATTGGGGTCCTTGCAACGGAAGGATTCCGAAACACCAGTTGACTCCTCAAGATCCTCCGCCCTTTCCGCCGACCGCTCCGCCTCATTCGCAGCGGCGGCCTTCAAGCGAGGACCGGAGTCAGCTGAAGGGCTCTCCCGTGGTGCGGATCTTTCGCGGCAGCTCACAGGAGTTCCGGAAGAAGTGGCAGGTGGGGTAAAAAAAGCGGTGATTTTAAACAATGTGACGAGTAATCAACAGGGGCAGAATGGTGAACCTAGCCTTTGGTTGTCGCCATGCAACCCAGTGGGGTGCTTATAGGAGCATGGTCTTCCATGACACCTTAACGGTTCTGTGTTTGATTGGAGGGTACCCGCGGGTGTATGGTTGGAGCCTCTGTGAAAAAAAGGAAAGTTACTAAGGGGGACTGGTTGCAAAACTTGAGATGAGACAACCCCATTTCTTTTGAAATTCGGGAAGCTCTGGTCAGGCTGGCCCAGCAGATGTTCTAGCCCAGGCAATGATGCTCGTCCCAGTTCAGTAGCCAGGTCCCCCAGCTAGGTGCCCTTCTCTCCCCTTTTGTTGGGGGGTTCCCCTACTAAAAGAATACAGTACAGAAAAAGTTGCTACCCTTATTCTAACCTCTCTACTGGAGGACCTAGGTAGAGTTCGGGCCCGAATCCCTTTTTTGTGTGGTGAGTTCGGGATACCTGGAGGGTTGGGACAGCCAGTCCCGAGTGTACCGAGCCCGGCCTATGGGTTGCCCTGGGTTCAGGGAGTGTCGTGTGGTGCCGGGGGGGGAGGGGTTTTAGGGTCGCTTTCTGTGATACCAAGGGAGTATGTCTTGGCGATGGCAGACTTGGGTATCTCAGGATGGGATTTTCCACAACCATTCATTTATTTGGTGGGGGGGGGTCTTGAAAATCAACCGACAAACATGTGTTTGTTGGGCTGATTAGGCCAGTTGCGTTGCACCTAGACGAGTTCTATTCAACTATTTATAAGACATCTACAGGAAACACATACAGTTTGTATCACTTAAGTTACTAGCATCGTTTTCAAGATCGGTTTCAGTGTCATCTTTTTCCCGAAAGCAGGCGCCTTAGCCCCTCGGTGGATGTTGAATGGAAGTTGCGCCATACCTTCGTAGACAAATTCAACGGGGTATATGGGTATTCAAAATTAAACCATGAGGGGACTGCAAGTTTTAGTGCTTGTTTCCATTTACCAGGGTTCCATTCTGGGTACGTTTTTCTGACCCACAGCCATATACCCTTTAAAGCGTATGTTTGCTTTTACGTGGGGAACGGCTCCCGGTCAGCGCCGCTCGGGTGGCTTCAGGCGGGGCTGGCGCAGACGCGGCTCTACGGGCGCTGGCTGGGCTCCGCAGACGCGAGGTGGCGCGGAGGGCTGGAGGAGACCTCCGGCCACGAGGCGAAGTCGAGTGAACTCGCTGGGGTCGTGGGGGGGGTGGGGGGGGGCGAGGGGGCGGGGGGGGGGCGGGGGAGGTTGGATGCATTGGGATGAGGTTCTTCGGTGGGTGGGGGGGGGGGGTTGGTTTGGGGAGGGGGGGAGGTGGTGGGGGTTGGTGTTTTTCGTGCGCAAGAAAAGCGAAAGACCACCTTTGAACAGGAACCAAAACAACAAAGCAGAAGGCTCGATGAAACCTTTTGATCAAGACTAGGTCCCCAGTTCCCCTACTAAAATAGACCAACCTCTCTACTGGAGGACCTAGAAGAAGCCGGGATGCCTTACTTTTTCATTCGACTCGCGAGGTGCGGTACATCTTCCGCGCGGAGCGAGTGGTGCTGCTGCTGGCGCCGGAGGCTTCTGCGGCGCTGAGCTTCACGGAGTTCCGGCGCCGCGGACGCGGTTCGAGTTGGAACGTCCGGAGCGAAGTCGGGCGAGCTGCGTGGTGTGGTTTGGTTGGTGTTTGCTTGTTTGGTTTGGTTTGGTTGTTTGTTTTGTGTTTGGCTTTTTGTTGATTCAAACTTGGTTGTGGAGGTTGCTTGCTTGGTTGGGTTTGTTGAGTGTGGTTGGGCTGGTTGTTGGTTTCTTTGTGGTTGAGGTTGCTTGGTTGGTTTGTTGAATTTGGGTGGCGGAGGTTGGTGGTTGGTTGCCTTTTTGTTTTGGCTGGGGAGTTCATGTCCGAGCACTCTTCAGAGGGTACCTGTCAAAATCTATGGCCATATGTTGAGATACACGTCGACACTGGCCTCCAGAAGCAAAATGAAAGGAGGTTGTTTCAACAATTGGCTGCTGGAGCCATATGGGGCTAAATGGTTACCTTTAAGTTTACTCCCAAAATCACGAGTGAGTTCGTTCTTACAAGTACCCAATACCTCATTCTAGTTCTTGAGGCCCTTATAGTATCACGGGCGCCCCTTGTCTTGCTGCTTCGTTAGAATCAACCCAACCTTTGCTCCCGCCCGGTGCATGCATTTTCACCCACGGGAAACCCATGGCCCGTTGGCATGACCTTGCATCCGAGCAGCCATCCTGGTCACCGAAGAGGCTGGTCTGAGTCAAATCAAAATGACACGGACGCGGAATCCGAGTCAGTGGGCCCCCGAGATCGTTTGGACGTGAATGCTTCACTCCCTAGGTCCCCAGTCCTTCTAACCACCTGTTCCCGTCAAAGCCGATTTGGTTTGAATTGGGGGTTCAGGAGGCTTCCTGAGTGGAGTGCCCAGCAAATGCGCTCAAGCTGATCATTAAAATGGTAGCTCAAAACCGGCAAAAGTCCAGAACCCAGACTTCAAGCAGCCGTGGGGAGAAGGGCACTCTCTTTTTCTTTTTGCAGTTGGTTTTACAGGGAAGTCCTTGCAAAGAAAAGTCAAAGGGCTTGCCACCCACTTGAGGTTTTTTTGTTGATTCTCGGGAAAGTGTGCATGCGCACTTCAGGGATTGCACCTGTTCTACTCCCGTTGGTCCTGTTTTTGGTACTCCGTCATGCCTTACGTGGGCCCTCATTTGCTCGTGATTTGGACTTAGGTGTGGATGTTGCCCCGACTCTAGATAGCTGCTGCGGATGAAAGGCTTGTTATATTTGAGGGCAGACCAAAAACGGGCCAGAGCAAGAATATGTTATATTCTGTGGGCCTCCAGCCAAATGGCCAAGAAAAAGGGTGCAAACCGAACAAAAGAATCCAGGGTCTCGGGCTGGTTGGTTCCCATTCTACTTTCACCCAAGGTGACTCATTTGTCGTGGGGGAAGCTTCCCCTTTTTTGCATCACTTTCATGCTACTTTCACCCAAGCTTCTCCCCATTTTCACTTGCCCCTGACATGTCCATCACCCAAGATGACCCAATTTTTTGTGGGGGCAGCATCTCCCCCCATTTTCCCACTTGACCCGCTCATTTGGGGAAGCTTCCCCCTAAATTATTTTCACTTGGACCTAACATTCCCCGGATTTCCCATCGGAACTTGGGCCTGACTCATCGGATTTCTCAGAGGGACCCTGACTCATTTCCATCGGATTTCCATTTTTCTCGCGGAACCAGCTTCCACTCGACCCATGTCCCTCGGATCTCTTTTCCCATAGGAAGGTGCTGTCCGGGTGGACGGAGCCGGACGACTTCCTCTGCGTCCCCGTGCCTTGACTGCTATCGGGTTGGATCTTTAGACTTCCACTTTTTGGTTGAAATCAAGTTGTGTTTTCCACTAAACCCCCCAAGAGTTAGAAACTTTTTGCAAACTTGTTGTGTTTTCCACCGAACCCCCAAAAAGTTAGACACTTTTTGGGGGGTCAAGAGCAACCAAGCCAAAAATGGATCGTTTTCAATGAGCATCTTTTTGAGTCAACCTGAACAGGGTACTCAGAAAAGGATGCTGGGGGGGTCGTTACAGCACCCACTCAGTTGCCCAAAGCCGACCCTTTTTTTCACCTTTTGGTTTCTCCTTGTTGTTTTAGTCACCCCAAAAGGTGATCACCTTCTATTTCTGGGTCTAAGGGGCAAGTGAGACCAAGGGAAAACGCCTTGAGCCTCCAAAAAAAAAATCCAACAGCAACGGAGCGGTTGCAGCACCAAGTTTTAGTCACCCCAAAAGGTGATCACCTTCTATTTCTGGGTCTAAGGGGCAAGTGAGACCAAGGGAAAACGCCTTGAGCCTCCAAAAAAACAACAACCCAAAAGGTGAATCTTTTATTTATTTCTTGTTTTTTTTTTTTTTTTAAGGGGCCAGTGAGACCAAGGGAAAACGCCTTGAGCCTCCAAAAAAAAAAAACCAACAGCAACGGAGCGGTTTTTGAGCGCCACCGAAAAACATCCACAGCTCGTTGCAGCACCAAGTTTTAGTCACCCCAAAAGGTGAACCTTTTATTTCTTGTTTTTTTTTAAGGGGCCAGTGAGACCAAGGGAAAACGCCTTGAGCCTCCCAAAAAAAAAACCAACAGCAACGGAGCGGTTTTTGAGCGCCACCGAAAAACATCCACAGCTCGTTGCAGCACCAAGTTTTAGTCACCCCAAAAGGTGAACCTTTTATTTCTTGTTTTTTTTTTTTTTTAAGGGGCCAGTGAGACCAAGGGAAAACGCCTTGAGCCTCCAAAAAAAAAACCAACAGCAACGGAGCGGTTTTTGAGCGCCACCGAAAAACATCCACAGCTCGTTGCAGCACCAAGTTTTAGTCACCCCAAAAGGTGATCACCTTCTATTTCTTGTTTTTTTTTTGTAAGGGGCCAGTGAGACCAAGGGAAAACGCCTTGAGCCTCCAAAAAAAAAAGCAACAGCAACGGAGCGGTTTTTGAGCGCCACCGAAAAACATCCACAGCTCGTTGCAGCACCAAGTTTTAGTCACCCCAAAAGGTGATCACCTTTTATTTCTTGTTTTTTTTAAGGGGCCAGTGAGACCAAGGGAAAACGCCTTGAGCCTCCCAAAAAAATATATCCAACCGCAACGGAGCGGTTTTTGAGCGCCACCGAAAACATCCACAGCTCGTTGCAGCACCAAGTTTTAGTCACCCCAAAAGGTGATCACCTTCTATTTCTTGTTTTTTTTTAAAGGGGCCAGTGAGACCAAGGGAAAACGCCTTGAGCCTCCAAAAACAAAACCAACAGCAACGGAGCGGTTTTTGAGCGCCACCGAAAAACATCCACAGCTCGTTGCAGCACCAAGTTTTAGTCAACCCAAAAGGTGATCACCTTCTATCTTGTTTTTTTTTAAGGGGCCAGTGAGACCAAGGGAAAACGCCTTGAGCCTCCCAACAAAAAACACCAACAGCAACGGAGCGGTTTTTGAGCGCCACCGAAAAACATCCACAGCTCGTTGCAGCACCAAGTTTTAGTCACCCCAAAAGGTGAACCTTTTATTTCTTGTTTTTTTTAAGGGGCCAGTGAGACCAAGGGAAAACGCCTTGAGCCTCCAAAAAAAAAACCAACAGCAACGGAGCGGTTTTTGAGCGCCACCGAAAAACATCCACAGCTCGTTGCAGCACCAAGTTTTAGTCAACCCAAAAGGTGATCACCTTCTATCTTGTTTTTTTTTAAGGGGCCAGTGAGACCAAGGGAAAACGCCTTGAGCCTCCCAACAAAAAACACCAACAGCAACGGAGCGGTTTTTGAGCGCCACCGAAAAACATCCACAGCTCGTTGCAGCACCAAGTTTTAGTCACCCCAAAAGGTGAACCTTTTATTTCTTGTTTTTTTTTAAGGGGCCAGTGAGACCAAGGAAACGCCTTGAGCCTCCAAAAAAAAATATCCAACCGCAACGGAGCGGTTTTAGCGCCACCGAAAAACATCCACATCTCGTTGCAGCACCAAGTTTTAGTCACCCCAAAAGGTGAACCTTTTTATTTTGTTTTTTTTTTTTTTCAAGGGGCCAGTGGACAGGGAAAACGCCTTGAGCCTCAAAAAAAATCAACCGCAACGGGCGGTTTTGAGCGCCACCGAAAAACATCCACAGCTCGTTGCAGCACCAAGTTCGTCACCCCAAAGGTGAACCTTTTATTTCTTGTTTTTTTTTTAAGGGGCCAGTGAGACCAAGGGAAAACGCCTTGAGCCTCCCAAAAAAAATATCCAACCGCAACGGAGCGGTTTTTGAGCGCCACCGAAAAACATCCACAGCTCGTTGCAGCACCAAGTTTTAGTCACCCCAAAAGGTGAACCTTTTATTTCTTGTTTTTTTTTTTTAAGGGGCCAGTGAGACCAAGGGAAAACGCCTTGAGCCTCCCAAAAAAATATATCCAACCGCAACGGAGCGGTTTTTGAGCGCCACCGAAAAACATCCACAGCTCGTTGCAGCACCAAGTTTTAGTCACCCCAAAAGGTGAACCTTCTATTTCTTGTTTTTTTTTTTTAAGGGGCCAGTGAGACCAAGGGAAAATGCCTTGAGCCTCCCAAAAAAAAATCCAACCGCAACGGAGCGGTTTTTGAGCGCCACCGAAAAACATCCACAGCTCGTTGCAGCACCAAGTTTTAGTCACCCCAAAAGGTGAACCTTTTATTTCTTGTTTTTTTTGTTAAGGGGCCAGTGAGACCAAGGGAAAACGCCTTGAGCCTCCCAAAAAAAAAATCCAACCGCAACGGAGCGGTTTTTTGAGCGCCACCGAAAAACATCCACAGCTCGTTGCAGCACCAAGTTTTAGTCACCCCAAAAGGTGAACCTTCTATTTCTTGTTTTTTTTTTTTTTTTTAAGGGGCCAGTGAGACCAAGGGAAAACGCCTTGAGCCTCCCAAAAAAAATATCCAACCGCAACGGAGCGGTTTTTGAGCGCCACCGAAAAACATCCACAGCTCGTTGCAGCACCAAGTTTTAGTCACCCCAAAAGGTGAACCTTCTATTTCTTGTTTTTTTTTTTTTTTAAGGGGCCAGTGAGACCAAGGGAAAACGCCTTGAGCCTCCCCAAAAAAATATCCGACCGCAAAGGAGCGGTTTTTGAGGCTCCACCAACAAAAACCCACAGCTCGTTGCAGCACCATTCCATTCCCCACAGCCCTGAACCTGGTGGTCTTCTTGTAGAACCTGGTGGTTTTCCCTTAGAGCTTCCAAAAAAATCCAACCGCAAGGGAGCTGTTTGTGAGGCTCCACCAACAAATCCCCAGCTGGTCGTTGCACCGAGGTGCTGGGGGGCAGCTTCGACTCCCACTGCTCCGCGCTGCACACGCTGGTGGCGCCCTCCGAGGAGTTCCCCACGCCGCCCGGAAATTTGGGAGCGTTTGGTCGGGTCGATCGATCCACGGGGGCGAGGTGCGGTGAGGTTTTGCCAGGGCAAAATGCCGTGGTCTTAAAAAAAGAAAGACATAAATAAGGGGGGTGGGGACCCGCAAAAGTCGTGGTTGTTTCTTCTTCTTTTTTTCTTTTCCGGGGGGTGGGGACCCGCAAGAAAATCGTGGTGGTGGTTGTTTTCCCCTCCGGGGAGCCCCCAAAACAATGGTGTTGTGGATCTTGTTGTCCTTTAAGTCAAGCAAAAAGCGTACCAGCTTAAAAACAGGCGAGCCGCCCATTGTAAGAGCCGGGTCCAACAAAAAGCGGTTGCGGTTTGAGGGGTTCTACCCCCAACCCACTCCCAAGGGCTTTGAGACGATACACTGCCACAATGAGGTCAGGGTGGCTCCAAGCTGCTGGCAGTTTCCCTTTCAAACTGTGCGAACATTTGGAGGGGCTCTGAAAATTGCGTGCGTCATGAGGAGGGGGGGAGGGAGTTTGGGGTTTCCTGTAAACCCTGCTTTGTACTTTTTTTTTTTTTTTTTCTGGGGGGGGAACCATTGCGTGGCAAATCGCTTGTTTTTTTTTGCAGATCTCAGGAAGTGCGTTTAAGTGGTTTCAATGTGAGGGATTCCGATGTTGATTTATTTTTGGAACCCGGCTGACCCTTTAAACCGCCAGTTAGCTCGGGTACTTTTTGTTGGATGGTCTGACCATGGACCCAGCGAGGCGCGAATGGGTCGGAGCGGGCCGAAATGGCACCGCGCTCTCCTCTTTAGAACTCGAAGCTTTGTCAAAAGGGGTCCTGTTTGGCATCCCCTTTAAAACTTGACTGCTACTGGGTTGGATCTTTAGACTTTAACTTTTTGGGAAATCAAGTTGTGTTTTCCACTCAACCCCCCAAAAAAGTTTAACTTTTTGCAGGGGGGCCAACAGCAACCAAGAAAAGGCGGTCCCCAAAAAGGGCTCCATCTTTTGGACAACGCCCCATTTGAACATCAAAGCTGCTTCCAAGTTTCATCGCGGCTCTTTGTGTACCAGGTTCTTTGTGTACCCTCCTGTCCACAAACATGGAGTATGGTGGTTTTCCTTTGGGTGTTCTTTCTCAACCTGCGCAAAAATACCTAGGGCTGTGAGGGGTGGTGGGTTCAGAAATCTGGATGACTTGGCCAGGGGGTGGGGTTTCAACAATGGAAGCGGGTGTGTGTGTGTGTATTCCAAAACGATTCTTTGGAGAATTGGTTGGATAAGTACTTCATGCCACAAAAATGGATTGAAAGTGGAGGGGCGAAATAGCTAGTAGTGGGGACCATTAAACTGAATTACCTCATCATGTGCACACAAAGGGAACCAACCATATATTATATGGCCGCGGGTCAAAAACAGGTACCCAAAATGGAACCCTGGTAAATGGAAACATGGACTAAAACCTGTCAAACCACCAATCAAATCGCACATTTGAGTGCTTGGTTCCATTGACCAAAGGCAACCCATTTTGGGGTTGGCCCATGTTCGACCCACAGCCATTTGCTTTTTGTTGGAGGGTATCCCTTCCTTTTGGGGCCATGGAATGATGGTTCTCCTGCAAATACCAACAAACAATGGTTTCCCATGGTTTCAACGTAGTGCAGGATTCGTCCATCCACAGCATTTGCGGGGGGTCCCAAAAAAAGGACCCCGCACACCGTGTGTGTTTTTGGTCTCCTTTCCGGTAGGATCATCTAGATTCTTCTAGGTGTTGATCCCCCATTCTTTTCAACCATCGTTCTTTTCAGAAACCAGCTGTTTCCCCAGGGTTTTGGGTGGTTTTTTTAGAAAGAAGGATGCCTGGAAAGCATGGACATGGAAGCTACCCCTAGAACGGGAAATCCAACCACATAAATGCTAAATTGTTTTTACCTTTTTTGCTCCAAGCTTCCAACGTCCACCCAGCTAGAATTCTTTCTGTTTTTTGGTTGTCTCCTTTCCGGTAACCGTCACTCTTGTCAAAACCCAGCTGCTCCGCGATAATTTTTCTTTTTTGTTCTTTCTTTTTTTCCTTTCTTTTTTTCCGGTCTCCTTGGTAGGATTCCCAGGGTTTTGGTGTTTTCCTTCTCCTTGAGGATCCAGGCGGCCCTGGACGCCGTGCCCTCTGACGAGCCCTTGCACCGGGTGTTGCTCCGTGCCGGCCACCACGAGGCCGTCCTTAGCTACGTTGGTGTCTGTGGTGTTTTTGGGCTTTTCTTTGGGAAGCTAAGACCGTTTCTTGGGAGCACCTCTATTTTTTGGTATGTGTTAATCTGTTTTCTTGGTTTTTCTTTGGGAATGTTTCAGCTTCCCACGCATTGGTGGTTTGGATTGGTTTGAATCTGGAGTTGAAGACCTGCGTCTAGTCCAGGGTAAATGTCACCAAGTGCAAGACTCCCCCCCCAAAGCCGCCACCCCCAAAATCATAAGGCAGTCTCTGTCTTGCTGAGCATATTCGGGGCCAAACTCGGGGCTCAAATGAGGCATTGCACCCACAGCAGGGCTCAGCAATTAGCGACAGAAGCTGTAGTGAGGCCTGCGAACAAGCCGAATTACGCTGTTTTGGCTTAATTAAGCCTAAAATGGCCTTAACTTTTTGGGGGGGGAGTGTTCTAAGCTGAGAGGGGTCGGGTAGAACGCACCCCCCCCCAAAAGTTAAGGCAGGTTAAGCTTAATTGAGCCTAAGAGCTCGGATTGCCTGGAATTGGCGTCAATTGATTGAATCTTTTCCTTCACCTGCAAGGTCTGACTGCCCTCAAAACCAACGCATGTCACAGTTGCCGGGGCTGGGCAGGCTCAACAAAGCTTAATTAAGCTTAATTAAGCCTAATTAAGCCTAATTAAGCAACATTCAAATTTGCTTACCTGGGCTCAATTAAGCTTAATTAAGCTTAATTAGGCGTAATTAGGCTTAATTGGGCTTAATTAGGCTCAATTTGATCCAACTACTTTTGCCAGCCCCAACATGATCTTAACTTCTTAGGGGGGGGAGTGTTGGGGGGGGGTTTTGCACTTGGTGAAAATGGGAAGCCCCTCCTTATCCACCAAACCACTAATCCAATCCACCACTTGGTGGGAAGCCGATTGTTTTTGTTGTTGTTTTTTTTGCGTTGGGAAACCAGGACAAAACCGCCGGTTTTGGGGTCCCCCCGTCCAGTTTTTCTCGACACTAAGGCCGTGTTTGAGGTTGTGTTGGTCGTAGAGATTGATGGTTTGTGGGAAATTGCCATGTGCTTTAGAGGGTGTGTTAGTCGTATGAATGTGTGTTCATGGCATGTGTTTTTTGGAGGATGCCCTTTTTCTTGATTCGACAAGAATGGATTCGAAAGGTGTTAAGCATGAACCAGAAGGGATTAAGGGACGTTTCATAGGGGTCATTCCCTCATTCCCCGATGAACAGCAAGTTTTTGGGTTGGTTTAAAGGGAGGCCAAATTGCAAAACCTTAAGCCCTAGCCGTAACCCTAAACCTAAACCTTGAACCCCCAACCCGTATCGTGCACGTGAAGTGATGCAGCCATGGGCGCTTAGGCCTGACTGCACATGATGGGCGTGTAGGGGGCTGTGCTGTATGGATGGCCGCAAGAGGAAGACTGTCTTCCAGGTAGGTTCCATGAGAAGGTGTTGGGTCTCTAAATGGCGTTTTTTGCTCTGGGTATGAGAGCAGTGTGTTTGAAAGTAGTGCGAGAGAGGAGTGTGTGTGAAAGTAGTGCGACCCCCCATCAGGTGGTTTGCCCGTACCCTTTTTTGTCGGGAAATTATTTGGGGTCGTCCAAAAGGCCTAAAAGATCCCTCGGGATGCGACACAGAGATGATGTACACCCGGCTCTTGGAATTCCAACGTATGGGTCCGGTGCAAACAGGCATGTTTCCTACCATAGGTGTGAACCTCAGAATGCTCGTTTGATTCTCCAGTACATCTTGACTCCTTTAGCAAGTGATAGCTGGTGTTCCAAACACTCTTCTCGGCATGTTGTTCAAGAAGAGAGAAGCACCCAAATTTTGCCCAAGAAAGGTGTGTGCCGAAACACGCTTGTTGCATCCCAACAGGGTACCTGGAACTGAAAAACTGCCCAATGAAGGGCCCTTTTTTAAATTTTGTTTGAGTCAATATTTCAGTTTGAAGGGTGGGCACGCCACGAGGGCGTCGTGCCCCTGCCAGCAAACCCAGTATCGTTGCATGTTGACGAAATGCCACGCATCATGCACGTTGTTTGGGGGGGGGGGGGGAGGGGGCGAGTAACGTTCGATTTTGCTGGGGAGGGGGTTTGGAGGGGTAGTAACGTTCGATGTTCACGAGATGCAAGGCATCATGTGCGTTGTTTGGGGGGGCATGGCTGGCATGGGTAGTAGCGCTCGATATTGACGACACGCCAGGCTTGCCGGGGATCGTATTCTCGGCATTGCTTGTTTTCATTGTTTGCTCAATCACCTGCTATGTTTTAAGGATCATCGGGAAGGTTTGAGGGGCTGTTTCTGCTTGCTGGGAGAAGATTGGTTTCACAGTTTGCAGAGCATCTGATCTCGTCACTGTTTGTATGTCGGCAGTGTTTTGCACAAACACCTCTTAGTTTTAGGGTTTCCGGGGTGTTTTGGGGGCGTTTCTGTTTGCTGGGAGACACCTGGTCTTGCAGCTTGCGAGCATCTGACTCTCACCATTCTTTGTTCTTCTGCCAGAGTCGTCATGGACTTGTGGAGCTTCATGGCTCCGTTGCGGAACGTCAGCATGACACAGAAGCGTGTGAGAAAGAGTGAGCGGCTGATCAACCTCTTTTTGCAGCTTAACATTGGCGTGCGTTTGGAAAATGAGCTGTTTTCTTCCTGTTTCTGGCAGTTTTACGTGCGCAAACGCACGACGTCAATCCCACGATGTGCTTTTTGAGCTTCCTTTTGGCCAATGAACTTCATTAGGCAACCTCCAAAGTCGTCCGTGGGCATGAATCCCCTACCTCAATGACCTCAGTGTCCACCAACCAAAGGGCCCCAAGCACCTAAGCCGAGGTGATATCCCCAACAGCCCCGGAACTTCGAACCCTGCCGCGGAATCCACGCGGAACTCGGTGAGTCCGGCGAGCGGCGGAGCGCGCAGGTGCAGACCTTGCTGGTGACTCGCCCGGTGCTGCTGGAAGGCGAAGGCGCGAAGCCGGTTCCGACGCCCTTTGTTTTCCACTAACCAGGCCAAACAAAACAATAGCTGATTTTTTTGGCCGGGGTCCGAAAACTCCAGCTTCAAGTGGAGGGTTCGAGCATCTTCGAGCCTTCTGGGGAGGCAGCTGGGAGACCACGCTGCGCGCTCGGAACCAGCCGGTGCTGCGGGTGGAGGGCCCCGCCGCACACACCGCCATGGCGCCCCGCCCGGCGGTTGTGGGGTGGGGTGGGGATGAAGGGGTGGGGGTTCCCTTAACTTCCATTTAGTGAAATGTTGTTTTTTCCTTTTTTTTCCCCTGTTGGTTTTAAAGGGAATCGATTTTACTACTGGAATTATGTTTAGTTTTTCCAGGGGACTTAAGCAAATGGAGGGTAAAGGAAAAACCGCCAGTTGGATGGTTCTGTTTGGGGTATTCCATTTCTCATGCCCTGCCTGACCCATGGGTGAAACAGTAGTGGGGGGCCTTGCCTAGCAATAAATTGCTTTCATACATACACCCCCCCACATGTTTTTTCATCTTCCATCTTCTACCCTTATTCGTTTTCATCATTTTTCTACATTCCTTTCTGTCCATCTCGTCCGTTTTTTTATCATCATTTTTCCAAAATTTTCGCCATCCTTTTCTCCTTCCTCCTCGCCTCATTCATTTCACCAACTACCCTTCAAAATGTCATTTCCTCAATCTCCTCACCTCATTCATTTCAAAAAAATAAATTTTGCAAAATATATTGCAAAAATATTTGTCATCAAAAAAAATCGAACTGTCTAAAAACGATTTGTCCATTTCTCGGACAAAAAATAGAACAGCAACAACATCACTCCCCTCCTTTGTTTCATCACTTTTATCATATATTTTAATAGGCGTGGTGTCCCTTGTAGGATTTTATCTTCAATATATAAAACGCTATACTTACATTATAACTATAACATATAAGGGTATAAATGTTATTATTATAGTATGATTAAGAATTATGGGTTACATTTATAGTCAGGAAAAATGTCTTCAAATATGTAACCTACATATTTATCAATATTACCAATGTCTATATATTTGATATTGTCTTTTCCTATTATTGAATAAATTCCCAGAAAAAGCAAATTAACTAGTAGCCATACTTGATATTTAGTGTTGTAGTAAGACCATACATGATATTTAGTTATTCTAAATTCATTCAAGACCTCGTTTATTTTACCTTTATTTAATAAATGCCAATCAATCGCTTCAAACATGTCTCGAATTTTTTAACAAATGCTTTATATGGTTTAATTGCGTTTGCCCCTCCAAACCTCTTAATTAAATCTTTATTATTAAAGAACTCATCAATTTCTTTTTCAAATGACTTTCTAGCAATTTTATGGTAAAAACATACAGGAAATCGTTTTTGATATCTCATAAAGAATTTCAATTGTAATTGAAACTTTGTATATCCCTTATCCTTATGTTCTTCAACAAAAAACTTTTCAAGGTCTCTTGTTATACAGCATTGATTACAATATACATCATATTCACTTATTTTACTACACAGATTAGCAGGTAATAACTTATACAATGTTATATTAACATCATTCCTTTTAGTTGTACAACATTCGCACTTTGAATAATTAAATAACATTTCCACTGTAATATATATAGTGTTTATTTCTTTAAATACTTTTTTACAAGAAATAAAATTACATATTGAAATATAATTATAACATATAATATTTTACATGTTATTATTATATTATGATTATAATTTAAGTTCAGGATAATAATTTAATTGATATATCTTACCTCTTTCATACATCATTTTAAAAATAAGATTAATATCTCTCACTGTATTTTTAACATTAAACTGTTCACTTTCAATATATGATTTTATGACTTTTTTTACATCAACGCCGGGTTTACTATAATAAATCAACATCCATAATATGTCATTAATCATTTCATACTTTTTCTTACTGATTTTAAGAAACTGTTTAACATAATCGTAAGGTGGTCTTTCATACACAGTTAAAAATATCAATATTTCATCTTCAACATTTCTTTCATCTATATTTTTAAACGCCCTACAATTTTCTATTATATTTTGATATCGTCTCCATCTTCTACAAGTTCTACATATATTTTCTTCGTCCAAAGAATAATCAATAATATTATTAACTATTCCATTAGGTAAATTCAATTTATATAATTCCTTACTTTTTTCAAAGTGGCAACAATCGTAGCATTTCTTATTGATATAATTATTGAATTCGGTTTCCACCATTTCTATTATAATATATGTATATAGTTTATATTTCTTTAAATACTTTTTTACAAGAAATAGAATTAAATATTGAAATATAATTATACCATATAACATTTTACATGTTATTATTATAGTATGATTATAATTTAAGTTCAGGATAATAAGTTAATTGATGATTATTAAACTGTGTATATATCTTATGTCTGTCGTGCATCAGTTCAAACATAATATTGATATCTCTCACGGTATTTTTCACATTAAACTTTTTGCTTTCAATTTCTGATTTAATGTCTTCTTTTACATCACACCCTTCTCTTCTACGATGTAACAATATCCATAAAATGTGGTTAATCAGTTCATACTTTTTCTTACTGATTTTGAGAAATATTCTAACATAACTATAAGGTGGTCTTTCATACACAGTTAAAAATATTATAATGTCGTCTTCAACATTTCTATTATGTCTTCTTTTCAGATTTAAATGACATCTGATTAATTCTTGATTATCTCTCCAGGTTTTGCAATTTTCGCATATATCTTCTTCATCCATTGAATAATCAATAGCATTATTAACTATTCCATTAGGTAAATTCAATTTATATAATTCCATATTTTCTTTTTTAAAGTGGCAACAATCATAGCATTTTTTATTGATATAATTATTTATTTCGGTTTCCACCATTTCTATTATAATATATATAGTGTTTATTTCTTTACATACTTTTTTACAAGAAATAAATTTATACCTTTAATAACTCATGTCTCAAAAATGCCCTGTCATAATTTTCAATATAATAATATTCCTGTCCTAACTTCTTTTCAATCTTTGCTATTTTGTAGGTTTGTTTAGTCCATACTCCTACTCTCTCCTTTTCATTTGGTCTCCTTTTCCTGAATATCTTAACTTCATTTCCTACATTTAAATCTGGATAAACTCTATTTCTTTTGGCTTTCATACCTAAATTTAAACTCACTTCTAATTTGTGTTTAGGCTTTCTTGCTTCTGACGGTGTTAAGCCGTGCGAAGTGTGCTTTATTCCATTCTTATAAGTTAATATAATCTCGTGTATGTAGTCTGTCCATTGAATAGCCTTTCCTTTTTTCTCATCGTTTTCAACCCTCTTATACAAGCTATCTTTAAACGTCCTTATTGCCCTCTCCGCAAATGCTGGGTGTCCTCTGGTTCTGTGCAACTCTATTTTTTCACCCTTCAAGAAATCTATAACACTTTGATTGTTATAAGCTCCTTCGTCGTCAATATAAATTAGTTTGGGTTTTCCATCAATTTTTTTAATACATTCCATCAGTCCTGCTAAAATGTCCGCTGGCTGTTTTGACATAAGCGGGACAACAACCATATACTTAGAAAATATGTCAATACACATCATGCCAACTTTCATTTTTTGTTTAGGGATATCATTAATGAAAAATAAATCAATTTGAAACTCATAATATGCGTTAGGAGCTACAAATGAATTCTGTCCTCTTGGCTTGGCTTTCTGTTCTACATTCTTCCTAAAAAACTCATTAATATCGTTTATAGTTATTGTGTTATCCTTTTTTCTTGCTTCTTGTAAAGTGCGGTTCTTTGACCCGAAGCCTCCCTTATCATAATAAACATTATTAACAATATCTTGCTTAGATGCCATATAAAATAAGATAGATATTATTTTTCCCGGCGATTACCGTTTAAACAGTAAGATATACAGTTTTCCTTATGATGGGCATAATCGTTGTTTATTCTTTGGGCTGTCATATTGCTATTTATTACTCCATTATTTATTTCTATGTCAAAATCTGAACTGCATTTATTACATCTGGTATTAAGCCTGTCAAATAACCATTTGGCATCAATATATTGTTTGTTGTCTATTTCTCTCTCTGCTTTCATGTCTTGTAATTTATACTGTTTAATTTTATGTTCTAAATATCTGGTTACTTGTGCTTCATTTAAATCAGTATCGTCTATGTCTGCTTTGAAAAACTTGACTTTATTGATATCTCTGCACCTTGTAATCGCTGTCCAAATCCACTCACGGCTGACCAAATGTGATTTATCCCATTCGTGTATAGTAATGCTTTTATCTAGAGAAGCCCCTTGAGACGAATGACATGTAGCACAATACGCATGTATAAAGTGCTTGTCTAAAGTCGTGGTGTTTGTCATGAATATAGTTTTACTTTTGATATCTTGGATTTCTACTTTCCAATCATCAATACTAATAATTTCATAAGTAATATTTACATTAAACGCCTGCCCCATTTCTTTTTTATAAACTCTGCATATCACATGCTCTCCAATTTCATATTTATCTGTCTTTCCTAAATTATTTCTTACGGTCTTGCTTACCCATTTGCACCTAGCATTAGTATAGGCTATGTTATGCTCTCCTTCCATGATGTCGCTTGTAGTTTCAAAATGTTTATTTACTATTTCCTTGAAGTGCAGTTTACTTTTCCAAATGTCATTATATATATCATTCAATTTAATTTTATCTTCTTCTGTCTTAAGTCTCTTAGATATCTTAAGATAAATCTTATATTGAAATATTTGATTAAGACAGTTGTTTAAATATGTCTCGTGGTCCTGGGTGTTAGTTAAATCAGCTATAGGTTTCAACTGCTTCCCGTCAGCAGTTCCCATAATTATCTTCTCTGGGTGCGTATCCTTAAACTCCCTAACTCTGTTCAAAATATAATTACCCGCCATACCTAGCTCATCAAACACAATACAGTTATAATCAGAATGGTCAATGTCGGCAGTCTTTCTCCAGCTTCTATTGGGATGCTAAAAAAATTGTTTAATGTTATGGCGTCGGCTTCGGTTTCTTGCTTCTGCTTGTTATTAGAACATACGAATAACACATTATAACCTAGATTTTTCATATATTCGCCTATATAACTCTTGCCGCTTCCAGCCAGTTTTGCTTTTATCAACACCGGATTACACGACACAATTTGCT